ACCCCCCCCCCCCCCCCCACTCGAGAACGCGGTCTATTCACGGGTGGCCGCCTGGATGAAAACCCAGCATCTCGGCAGTGCCGGGTCTGCGCTTCGGTCGTCTGAGCCACCCAGCCACCTCCAGTTGGTCATGGATTCACGTGACCCCGTCAAGCCACCAGAGCTCCCTAACATTCACCACAGTTACTTAAGGCTTTCGTGACTGCAAGAATTCATATTCTTTGGGCCTTTCGGTAAAGATAGGTTCAAATAACCTATCTACGTGACTTGACCGGAAATAACCTATCTACGTGACTTTACCGAAAGACCCAAAGAATATTCACCACATTGTTAACGAACAAAAAAAAACTACTGTACTCATGAATCAAAATTGTGGCCTTAAATTGTAACAAATAATTTAATGACAACTCCCGTGGCTGACTCAGTGTAAATTATTATTGCTGTTAAGAGCTTACATTACATCACGATCGGTTTGCTACGTACGGTGCAAAAGAAGTTCAACAACATACATGCACACAACAGTATTAGCCATGTGGTTTGGCTTGAAGACGTAAACATCCACATGTGGAAAAAACAGAAACCCACCGACAAAGTTGGGGTACTTTGGCAGATGCGTTCGTAACAGAAGCAGCAAGATCAGGCACTCGGTGGCCGTTTAACGTTTTCAAATTAGAAATGCCTACCCCATCGACGTTGGGCCAACGTTGGTCCAACGGTTCGAACCACATGCCAACGTTGCTCCAACGTTACATGTTTACTCATGGGTGTATGTATAACAGGCAGTCCGGAGAGAAGGACTTTGAACGATTACATCATCGAATGTTGTTCAAAACATACTCAACAATGTATTGTGCCACGGTGGCGAGATGTTAACATCGTCTGGTATGGAGGAGGTCGTGGGTCCGATTCCGACCCTGATGTCTGCATATTTGGAGTTTGCGTGTTTCTCTCCCCGTGGTCATGTGGATTTTTCTCCGGGTCCTCCGGTTTTTCCCTCCACATTTAGAAACGTGCGTTTAGAGTACAGTATTTGTTTGCTATAAATGTCCACACGATAAGCCACTTCTTTGAGATGTAATTTGTACCAAGTCGCTTCTGAAAAAAAAGCTATACAGCTCAGTGGGCCACACCTGGTAAGATAAAAATAGGTTACATTTTAAGTAGGTAAAATACTGGCCAAACGTTGCATTTACCCTATTGCCCGGATTATAAGACGTCTCAGATAGCAAGACGCGCATCCAAACGTTTACCCGATGTCAACAAAACTATTCAAAAAATGTTGTCTCGCGCACATTCACGTACACAGCTACCCGATTCTCGCTCGAAGTTACCCGGGTGTGTGTGTGTTTTATAACCAGGATCCTCCTGACAATGGGCTCTTCGGACTCGCTCGAGACGTTTGTGGGCGAGCAAAGGATCGCTGCGGCTAAGAGGGGATTACTGTCTAAAGTCCGTGAGAATCTCGTCGTCAAGCGTTGCGCAGACAGCGCACAGACGTTCGCATCTGCATGCAACCCCATAACGCAGCGGCAGGCGAATCCTGCACACGTCAGCAAACTTTCCTCCGCATCCCTCATCCGCCCGGCATCGCAACTTCAAATAGAAATCGTCTCGAGGCACGGCCCGTCGCTGCGTCGCTTGTCAACGTCGTATTGAGTCTGCAGTCGCTTCCCTCCCGACTTGTGGAGTAGTTATCTCAAATGTCCCCCTCCCCCCCCCCGACTGCAATTTGTTCTGGCGCCTTGAAGAAGCGGTCTGAATAATACCGTATCACACCCTATCCAGATTATAAAGCACATTCCATCTCCCATACATATTCAACGTTGGGGGTGCGTCGTATAATCCGATAGGTGTGTGTTTGTGTGTTTGTGTGTGAGAGACGAGATTTGCAGAACTCCGTTGACACCGAGCACAAATTCGCGGTGCCTTATTACTCTCCGCGGCGTCTTATACTGATGCGGAGAATGCGGAACGCGCTAACGGTGACCGATTCATTATTTAGTCGCCAACTCGACGACGTGAGCTTCCCGTTCCAGTATGACATTATCAATCGTCGAGTGAGACTGTGAGTGGTTCGACGAGCACGCTTCTCCTCCTCCTCCGACGAGGATCATTCCCCCGGTTGCAGTCAATGTTGTTGATGGGAGAGTACACGTCGCGTCAATCCATCATGATCATCATCACCGCCACCACTAATCCTCCCGTTTCACATCGGCATGAAGCGAGGTTGATCGACGCGGAGTGTGAGCGAGCGACGATGCACATTGAACTCGAGTCGGCCAGGGTCTGTCCAGGTGGGCGATCGGGAGGACGGGGCGAGGGAAATATGAGCACCCGGCACAACAACATCCAGTATACCTGTCCGCGTGTCTACTCCAGCCTACCCAGCGATCCACAAAATCTGAATAGAGACAATTAAATGCCCTGACTGTAGTCGTCCCATCCTTCCTGCCATCATTCGAATTACATTCACCACCACCATCATCACCACCGTTATGTTGACGGACGGAGAGCATGATGATGATGGTGATTACGGTACATTAGGTAATCGCTGGAGAGTATTGATCTGTAGAGAGAGAAAAAAAGCCTAAAGTGTTCCGAGAAGAACGCCGTGGAAGTCTCACAACACAAAACACGCGTCACGCCGGGTTCATTGCGGTCTCAAAGATCGTCGTCGTCGTCACCATCTATACAGCCCACAGAGTGTGCGTGCGTGTCTGTAACACATTCGCTGTGTGCCAACCTACGGCCCTTCATCAACTCCACTGCTGGATAAACGCCTCCACACACCCCCCACGCCACGCCACCACGCGTGCCGTGAAGAGGGGCGGTGGATGTCGTCTCGCTATACTTCACCACGCTGGTCACTGCGGTGTTGCAGAGTTCCTTCACACCCCAAGGTTATGTAGGACTTGCGTAACAATGCCGTGTGTAGGCTACAATGGGAGGTTTTAACGTATTAAAAAAATGAGTACCTGGTATAGCGGTGTGTAAACATCGCCACTGGGGAGACAAAGGCGGCCGGGCGTGGTGCTGGCCACCCACCCCCTCGTCTGCCGTTCTGGCCTTCATAGGTGCTACTCGCTAACAGCACTTGCCCCAACAGTCTGTTACAGGCTATACGGGGGATCTTTGTCTCTGTCTGTCGGGAGAGCGGTAGTGCATAACCCTTTATCAGTGCCCTATCTTATTATAGACAAATTCAGACCTTATTGGTCACCCCGTGCCCCTTATAAATCTCAAAGTTCATCCTACGAAGTCACCATCGCAAGACAGAAGGACAACACAAATCAACAAAAAAACATTGTGCCCGTTTTGAACCCGCTGCACGCCATGTGGACCTGAAGACTCAATTCCCCTGTACAAGATTATCTGAACCCGTCGCGGGCCTCCCCTAGGTCGACTCAGCCTCAAATGAGTAACCTGGTGCGATGTGTAAACATCCCCACCAAGGGAGACAAAGGCGGCCGAGCGTGATGCTGGCCACCCACCCGCTCGAGTCGGTAACAGAATATGAAAGTGTACACGTGTATTTGTGTACTGTGTTGGAATGTTCGCATGCCTGTAGTATGTAGTATTGCGAATGTCCGTGTGTGGATGTCTATGTGTACGCGTGAGTATGTCTTGCATTTAAGCACGTCTGTGTTCACATGTGTGGACTATGCATATGTCGTGGGTCAGTGGATGTCTACGTGTGCGTTAATATACCCGTATGTATAATAAGTACGTGTGTATGTGTCAACTTATCTTTACGCAATTAGCATAGAGGACGTGTAATACATCTGTGTTAGTATATGTCTATGTATTTTGATTTAAAGCTTTCGTGACTGCAGAGATTCATATTCTTGGTTCTTTCGGTAAAGGGGAACAATAAAATAATAAAAATATAAAACAATAAAATGCTCACGACGTTTGCTTGTGATGCAGTCAAAACGTCGTGAGAATTGTAGTTTTATATTTTTATTATTTTATTGTTTTCCTTCTACGTGACTTTACCGAAAGAACCAAGAATATGTCTATGTATGTACAGTATATGTGCTCTGAAGAAGGCCCATTTCCCGAAACGTCGCCTATTAAATGTGTGTTTTCCTTTAAGGCCACAGTGTAAGTGTACCGATGTGTCGAGAGTTGTTTTGTCAAACAGACGTGTGCGCCACTGCCAAGTGCCAACGCAGCATCGCCAAATCAATAATGTGTGTGTCTGTGTGTGTCTCTGTGTGTGTGTCTGTGTGTGCGTGTCTGTGTGTGTGTGTCTGTGTGTGCGTGTCTGTGTGTGTGTCTGTGCGTGTCTGTGTGTGTGTCTGTGTGCGTGTCTGTGTGTGTGTCTGTGTGTGTCTGCGTGTGTGTGTCTGTGTGTGTGCCTGTGTGCGTGTCTGTGTGTCTGCGTGTGTCTGTGTGTGCGTGTCTGTGTGTGTCTGTGCGTGTCTGTGTGTGTCTCTGTGTGTGTCTGTGTGTGCGTGTCTGTGTGTGTCTGTGTGTGTCTGTGTGTCTGTGTGCGTGTCTGTGTGCGTGTCTGTGTGTGTGTCTGCGTGTGTCTGTGTGCGTGTCTGTCTGCGTGTGTCTGTGTGTGTGTTTGTGTGTGTCTGCGTGTCTGTGTGTGTCTGTTCGCGTGTCTGTGTGCGTGTCTGTGTGTGTCTGCGTGTGTCTGTGGGGAGCGGTAGTGTAGCGGTTAGCGCTACGCTGCGCTATGAACCTGGCGACCCGGGTTCGATTCACGCTCACGGCCAACACCAGTGGCGATTATCTGAACCGGTCCCGGGCCTCCCCTAGGTCGACTCAGCCTCAAATGAGTACCTGGTGCGATGTGTAAAGATCGTCACTAGGGAGACAAAGGCGGCCGGGCGTGGTGCTGGCCACCCACCCCCTCGTGTGCCTTGCCGGCCTTCATAGGTGCTCGCTAACAGCACTTGCCCCTACAGTCTGTTCAGGCTAAATGGGGGATCTTTGTCGTTGTTGTTTTGTGTGTCTGTGTGTCTGTCTGTGATCTAAGTCGTCGTCACCTTCTGTTGGCCGCGCTCCCAGGGCGCACATCAGCAGGACGCACGCGACAGCAGTGACCCTGGCCAGCACGGACCCCGCCGTCATCGCCATCTCCGCTGTCATCATCCGGGCGCGGTGCGCGGACGAGGTTTTTTTCTTCTTCTTTTCCCCGCACCTCCGATTAGCCCTGTTGGCTACGTAGGGTGCGGAAGAAGTTCAACGGACGGTAAGGTAGAAGAGCGCCGGCGCTCTGCTCTCCTCCGCTGGAGACGCGGGCAGCCGCCAACTGAACAAGACGGAGCGCAGCACAGAATCTCCCCCCAACACCACCTTCACACTCCCCTCTCTCTCTCTTCCAGCTCAGCTCAGCCAACTCCTCCTCCCTCCCTCCCTCTCTCCCTCCCCGCAGTGGCGCTTTCACAAAACCAGCCCCGGTCCGCTGTTTTTGAAGAGGTCTTCCCAACTCCTCCTCCCCCCTTCCACACTGTTCCGGCACCACCACCACCAACCACTACCCAACCCCCCACGATAACCACGCCCGCCAGCCCGTACGCAGTTACCACCACCGAGCGAGCTATCCCACAGAGAGGACAGGCGGTGGTGGTGGGGGGCACTGAAGGCGGGTGAGTCTCCCCCCCCCCCCGCACTGTTGAATACTCAGCCCCCTTTCTAGATTCGTATGGTCAAGTAAAAATGTTGGTACGGCAATTGTCTCATACACCTATGATGGGGCGAGAGTTCGAGCGGAATGGCGTGACAGACGAACGCAGATCAGATCGTTCCGTTTCGCGTTTGACACTTGTTGAAAGTTTATTTTTTGTTTAACAGTGACCGTCGTGCCGTCTCTCCACACCAGTTGTCCCATGTCCCCCACCACTCCCCCTGAAACAAGGTCACGCTTGCATGGACGGTCCATTGAATCCCAAAACCCAGCGTGCGTTGCGATGGCACATGATAGCAAAAACAACAACAAAAAATCTCACTGAATGCCAAAGGCAGAGTGTTGTCACTGGCTGATATCTCTGCGAAAGACGCTGAAGCCAGCGTTGCATTGTTTGTGATGGGAGGTGACGACTGCAAACAAAATAGGAACTCAAAGGGTGAATAATATTTAAAACAAGCCAGCAACACAATCCATAGCGCGAGCCTCGTTTCACTTACACCCACGCGTATACCAGGGCACGCTGGCACATGGCGTGATGGGTTTATAGGATGTTTTACAAAGTATTTTAAAAAAATCTTTGACAACCTTGTCTATAAACTATTCAGATCCTATAAACTATTCAAGTCCTGTTTTGTGAGCTGCACCCTCTGTTTCCTTTCCCATAATTATGCGTTGTATGTATGTTGAACTTCTTTCGCACCGTACGGAAGTCATCCCTGCTAATCGGAGGTGCAATTGTATGGCTCAAGCTGAGAATGTGTACATTATTACCGCTGCTACTGCTACAGTACCACCACGCGTGTTTACCCAGGGAAAGCCTCACTGAAGCTCATGACTGCCAAGTGAACGTTGTAGGGGGACGACACGTACAGCACTTTGTCCAGTCCACTGCTGGATGAGAGTTTTGGTTTATTTTATTATCCTGGACCAGTACCGGTTGGTGAAGGCGGTTGGAAAGTGTAGACGCGGGAGCATAGCAGTGCGGTACAGCGATGGATTATTTTTGTTCTGCTGTGGATGGTGGTCGTCCAAACCAGGTTATATCGGAGACCCAACTCTGCTGAGCTTCCGAGAGGTCTGACGTGGGTCGGGCGCATTCCAGGAGATTTTGGTCGAAGGAGAGACGAAACACGAGTAATTATATCAGCAACATTCATAAAGTGATGTACATTATTGGGGTCCAACATGGATTACCTCTTCATGTTTGGAGATAGCATGACGTGGGTATGTTCGTGCATCAGATAAGGAGTGGCCCGTAATACAAAGTTCTGTATATAAGATTAGTATAGACTGCATGTAGAGTACAGTACCTATAATCATATCACTCGGACTGTGACCCAGAGTCCATAATCATACACATCACGTGTTGTAGGCTGCTCTAGAGCCACTTTGCCCACAGTGAGCAGCGCAGCTACAGCCACTGTTGTGCCGTATTTCCATGCGCCCTCGCGGGCCTTCACAAACCCCCGCACTGACCAGCGTGGTGGAGTGTGGTCAAAGAACACTCATGACCCCCATGACGTGGGGAGGCCGTCATCCAGCAGTGGACAAACAAAGGCGCTGTACATGTACGTAAGTAGAGTACGTTTATCTATATGTTGGGCGGGGTGGGTGATTGCGCGCGCTATAGATAATATTTTTTTCCCACGGCCATACAGAAAGGTCAAAAAGGAAAAGTAATGATCGAACCCACAATATTGTTGCAGTGCTTCTGATCTCATGGCTATTCAACAAAATAACCTTCAGATCTTAAATGTAAATGAGTGGCTAAGAGGGAACGGCAGAAGTGGTTAGCTCGCTTTGTTCAAATCCCGGCCATGGTTAACGTCAGTGGCGAGTGATATTTTGAACCGGTCTTTTGAGCCCCACCTAATTGAGCACCCCTATCAACACGCACTCACCAGAGTGGAGAAGTATGGTCAAACAACCCCCATGAACAACAGGGCTTGTGTACGTTTTCTTCCAGCGGTGAGAAGACAAATGGCTAAAATATGTTGGTCATAACCTGACGCGGAACACTGTTGATTGCTCAAAATGAAGCACGCGTTCACGTAGTTTATAATACGTGGAAATGAACAAAATGATTATCACATCGCCATATCCTGTCCGTATTGACGTGCTACTTGAAATAAATGACCGAGTGGTTTCTTGACCATCAGTTTCCATGGCTGTATTCAATACATGCTGAAAAAGCCCCCCTCCACCCCCACCACTAATAATGCAGGGGCAATTATAATTTACATTCCCAATGTTAATCCTCTGCTGAATTAAGACCTCTGCAGGCCGTGTCAGTAGCAGGCAGGAACGCAATGACCTATGTCAACGGGGCTATGCAAGATCCGACTGTGGGTCCCCCTCCTTTCTCCCCGACTCACTTTTACTGACATAGCTAAGGATGTTTTTAACCCGTATACAATAATATGTAGGCTATGACTACATATATTATTTTAGTTGCACCCTGTATTGATTTTAGAGGAAGACAGTCTCACAGTCACAGTATGAATAAAAACACATTTAAAGGTACAATACTCACAATTAAGTTCAAAGGGGATAGATCGCGCAAATGTATGCTGCTCTATTGATATGAGAAGCCAGATGCGTCAATCGGGCTTAATCCATGGTAGACCGCAGGTAATTTTTCACGAATACATTTTTTGTTAAATATTTTTTTTCTATAAATGTTTTTACTTGTTTATTATTAGCTCCAAATCAAGATTGTTTATTGTCTTGTTAATTCGAGACCCCTTATGGCCGGCTGGGCCCATGTGCTTCGCATAACGCTGCCACAGACCCCATAGTTCCGCCACTGGTCGCAGGGGTTGTTTGACCATACTTCACCGTGCTGGTCAATGATTGGTGAAGTCGGACGTGGGGTGGGGGGGTATCCACGACAATGTTGGATGGTTTAAGACGAGGAACAGGGATCGAACTTAGCTCCTCGGTTTCAGAGCGCGCACCCACCAACCCAGACATCCAAAGCGCAGGATGACAGGCGTTAAGGGACACCAGTGAAAACCCACGTATTCAAATTGTTAAAAGTTCTATTTGATTTGTTACACGGGTGATTCCATTTCTCCGGTTTCCGGGCTTTATTTGCAAGGGAGATCCCTGGTGCGTGAGCAAAGCCACAACAACACACAGACAAAAACATCAATTCACAGCATACGAGTAACGCGTCCTTCATGAATATTGGAACAACTAACAACCGAAGTTTTTAGCATGCAAACGTTATCATTCTGCAATCTATGACTTTCGTCTACTTAATTCAGGCTACTGTGTGTCTATTCAACTCAATTCATGTTGTTGTCGTAACGCTGCACACTCGCGTAATTTGCTCGAAGGAGCTGTTGGGGGCCGTCCATAAATGACGTCACGCGATTTTGGACGATTTTTGACCCCCCCTCGTCACACGGCGTCACAAAAAGTCAGACCCCCCCCCTAAAATGTGACGTCACAAAGCTCTGCCCCCCCCTCCCAAACCATATTTCCATTTTGAAAATAAAACATGCTTCAAATCGCTTTAAACTATTGCCATTGTAGTGGGTATTTAATGTGGCGCTGCACTCTGATGTTGTAGGAGAAAACATTTATTAAAACGTCTAATTAAGGAAGTAGAACGTGTTGTCTATATTTATTTAAAGTTGCGCATTGTGATGCGACGTTACATTTCTCAAACCCCCCCCCCCTCGTCACACATCGTCACAAATGTCTGACCCCCACCCCGAGGTGCGTGACGTCATTTATGGACGGCCCCTTGATCGGTGGCGCAGTGCTTGACGCACACTGCGCGATGAACGCGGCGACCTGAGTTGTGATCCCAAGCCACGGCTGACATCAGTGGCGAGCGACAACTGTGATGACATCCTCCCCCCCCCCCCTTTCATCATGAACCCGCACTGACCATCGTGGGGTGAAGTATGGTCAAATAAGCCCGACACGGCTGGGGGGACCGTGAAGAGGAGGGGTTCATCCAACAGTGGAATTGACAAATGGCTGTAAATTTGAATGGGTAGAGCTTGTTGTGGCAGGTCCGCTGAGACGGGTAAAATTACTCTATGGTGTTGCGCTTATATGGAAGTGTTTATGGTTCCCGGCGGGCTATTATATAACCACAGATACTCCTCATCCCCATGCAGAAAGAAGTAACGTCGCCACCGCAGATCCCACTGTCGCCTTAGAGTGCTGAGCCCTCTAGTGGCGGTAATGATGAGTGCCACAGCTGCAAACTTGGCATTCAGCGCAACACGGTAGGGAGATATATTCCAGATGTTCGGATTAATCGGGGAAAAATACCTCAAGAATTGGGCACACATACGATATTTCGGATGTTCCGATGTTTCCCCCCCCCCCAATGATTCGAAAAAGAAGGGATTTAATTTTTACATTGCTTTTGTTTGCGAGAAGACAAGCAGAGCATTGCACAAAGTAAATTATCCCAAAAAATATCTGCATTTGTCCTCATAACTCCTAAAATGTGAATTCCGAAATTAAGTGAAAATCAATCAAATGCGCATCCCTACTACACAATCATCATGTATAGCCCATTTCTGTATCCACTGCTGGATTAAGGGTTAGGTTATGTTTTTAGTTTGTTTGGGTAGGGTTTGTTGGCCAGTGTGCTTAGGATTGAGTCTCGGATCTGCGTGTTAGGTTCTGGCTGATTGGCTAGTTTAGTTGGGTCAAGACGAGGGCTTGATTGGATAGTGTGCTTAAGGACACAACCAGTGATCAAATTGATTGATGTTGTTGGTGTTAAAACTACGTTAGGTTCTGGCTGTTTGGCTAGTTTAGTTAGGATTACGAATCGGGGTGGTGTCGTTAGGGTTTGCACTAAGCTCTTACGGCTGGTATGCTAAGCAATGTTGCCCCATGCCTTACGCCTCCTGCGATTGTCCCATTGGCTAGTTTAGTTATGGTTAGGACTAGACTCTGATGTTCTGGTATGGTGCATTTAATGCTATAGTTAGGGTCAGTTTGGCTAGTGTGGTTATTGGTTAGGCTATGTTTGGGTCTTGTGGGAAACACTGTAATGTGTTCTCTTCCCGCTATGTGTGATGATTTGAACTTTTGTCCAATTTCACGTTTTCGATTTTACAGTGTATTGCATGACGGGACACATTTCATTCTGATAGAAGATGGGGAAATTATTGACCAGAGGGAAGGCGTGTCTAAGGGCGCCACTGTGCCGAGATGTTAACTACCTCGCCTGCTATACAGCAGGTCGTGGGTTCGATCCCGACCCTGACGCCTGTACATTTGGAGTTTGCATGTTGTCCCTAGGATGGCATGGCTTATTCTCCAGGCCCGACGGGTTTCCCCTCCACATTTGCAAACATGCGTTTAGAATATTCGGCTGACATAAATTTCCACATCATATGCCACTTCATTGAGCTATCATTTGTGGCTAGGTCGCTTCTGAAAAATAGATATTTAGCACAGTGGGCTTTACTTGGTGAAATAGAATACAAAGTTTAGTTTGTTTAGAAAAAGTGATACATTTTGCAGACATAACTGAAGAGAAGTGCAGGATTTTAGCAGACACTGATCAACTTAAAGTTCAGAACTAATTTTACTTAAAGTTTTTTTCTCCAGCGGTCAATCTCCCACATCAGACATTCACAGCGGTGTGATGGCTACCGACTATGGGTTCACCAAAGTCGATCGGCTAGTTGCGTGTGGTGGGGTACAGTGTGGTTACGCTCTTCCACAATGTCCAACCAGCATGGAAGAGTCGCCACAATGCCCTCAATAGTTCATTCTAGGTCCTTCCACCAAAAGTAGTGATAGCAAGCAAATACAGAGCTGCACCCTTATCATTTAGGATTCAGATGATGAGGCTCATGAATGGTGTGTGAATACGTGCAGCCCTTTATCAATACACTCCGCCTGCATGAGGCCCTCACCACGCTGTGTCGGTTAATAGTGTATTTTCATTTTTTAGCATAATTCACCACGCTTGTCAGTGCGGGTTGGTGAAGGGCGTTGCCTCGTTCTGATTGAGATATATCACTCGCCGCCACTTCTTCTTGAATTACACGTGCAACACTATTGCCATGAGATGTGTTTGATAATTGTTTGATTTAATAATCGTCAAAAACCATAATCAATCCACTGCTGGATTAAGGCCTTCTCAAGCCATCACCGTCTCTCGACGTTCCTCAATACAACTGTCTACCTAGCACCTGCAAACTGGCTGATTGTATCGCTCCATCTGCACGGTGGATGTACCGTTCAGCCGCGTTTCCTCATTTGACTGCCACTCCATCGTGATTGTTGCCCACTGGCACTGGAAATGTTTAACAATACCGTAATCCCTGGCCCACAGAATCTTTAGGGAGTTCGGAGCGAATCAGACTTTGAATTGCATTCTCAGATTTTGGGATCAAACACGGGCATCAGTAAATGGCAACAATATCGTCAACGTGAACTGTGAATAGTATTGTGCGAGACGACTTTAGTCTAAAATCAACAACACGAAAGACGTGTCCTGTAGTATTATTATTATTGAAAGTGCAGTGTTCTTGTTATGATCTGTGACCTCATTGCTGTGGCACTTTTCTTCCGAAAGCAGCTAGATTTCCTGACATTTCTATGGGGCCGTTTACGGAAACCAGAGAAGGAGACGCCCTGCCTTGCTCCCCGTGTTTACCCCCTGCCTGGTTATCACGGACGAGGTGACTCGTATTGTTCGAGCCGCTAAACAAAACTCATTGAGAACTACGCCTTCTGCCACCATTTACTTTGGATGTGTCACACTGGTGTGGCGGTGGCCTGGGCATCGGTCCTGGAGAGAGGAATTAAATTGTGGTCACTCCATCAAAGTTTCCCCACTCCTCATAATAGCCTGACGCCTGGACTTCGCTGACCCATAAGTCCCGGTGCATTTGCACAATGACTGCACACTCGGAAAGCTAAGCCACTGCGATCAGAATGTGCCTATACCTAGCAGGCTTATAAAAATTCACCCTCCTCGCTGCAATTTGATGAATTGTCACCATTTGAGGCCGAGACTTGATACAATAAAGCGATTGTCTTTCGTCTCGTTTGTTCAGCGAGCCTTGTTGATTCTGCCTCATTCATTCAAACGATAATTAAAAGTGCGTTGTCCTGCTCAATTGAGCATGGAGTGGTGTTCATTTCCCGTTTACAGTCTCGAGTCAGTCGTGGAAATTCCACATTACCGTGGCAGATATTAATCTAACCGTAGGGCAATGGCTGTTGACTTCCCCACAAAGTGGTTACGTACTGTTATGAATCCCGGATGAATGGAGTGGTTGAGCCGACCCCAAAATGTGAACTCACCAATCTTTTGATTTGGCGAGTCACCCGCTCAAACACTGCAAGAATGCCCTCGCAGTGATTGAAGCGACCGAGCGCACGCGAATTAGAAACCTCGTGCTGTGTTCTATTCTAGATTTGAAGCTTTCGTCACTGCAAGGATTCATACTCTTTGGTTTCTTTGGTAAAGTCACGTAGGTAAAAAAAATAATTAAAATCAATGCAAACATCAAAATTAAATCACGACGTTTCGGAGGCAACAAACGCTTCCTTCACCAGGTGTAAAACAAAAAAGGCACGGCTAAATAACTGGTCTCAAACGTTTGCCTCGGGTGTCCGATTCGCGTGGCTAAGATGTTTGCATTAAACGCGTGAATATCGTTCGCGGACCGTATGGAAGTTACTGTTAGCATACTCTTTGGTTCTATTCGGTAAAGTCACGTAGGTAAAAAATAAAACCTATGTGACTTTACCGAATAGAACCAAAGAGTATGGATCCTTGCAGTCACTAAAGCTTTAAATCTAGAATTACTGTTAGCAGGCCGCGCAATAAAGTTGAATTCTATCAATTAAAATTAGAACAACAAACACATTAACCGGGCGAATCTTGATTTGAAGCTTTCGTGACTGCAGGGATGGAGACATCGCGGCTGCTCGTGATTTTCACAATGAAGACGGACGCTTGTGTTGTTGTTCGAAACGTCGTGATTTATTTTGTTTTATTTCTACCTACGTGACTTTACCCAAAGAAACCAAAGACATTAACAACGTTCATTGAAGCTCTGTCGTCCCGACAGGTCTGTTCCTTTCACCTGAAGAAGGCCACTTGTGTTGTGGCCGAAACGTCGTGAGAATTTTATAATGTAATTTTAGTTTAATATATTATTTATTTTATTCTCATTCTACGTGACTTTACCGAAAGAACCAAAGAAGATGTATAAAGTAACCGGGTGCTTCACTCCCAGCTTTGGCCAGCAAACAGTTTTACAACACCGGCGAAATCTGTGTTCGTTTAGAGTACTGTAGTAATAACGGAGCTCCCTCCACCACCCCCCCTATTTTAAAGCGATGCCCATTCCCTTGTTATTGTTGTAGGAAGTTTGGTGGAGTCCCTCGAGGACCCCCCCCCTTCCACTCCCCATGGTTAGACTCCTATCGAATGTTTAACCCCCCCCACCCTGCAAGGGACCTCTCGCCTAGCGCTCCCCCTAGCGGCCCGCGGCTGTGGGCGCGGCGAGACGCCGGATCCCCGGTGTCGGTGTCACGCTCCGCGGGCCTTACCCCACATTATTTTTTTGCTGTCCATTCCTTCCTCACTTCTTGTCCAAGGACTCCCCCCACTAGGCGCGGATTGATCGGGGGGGGGGGGGGTGTGCTGGGGTCGGGACCCCGAGGAAGGGGATTAGACCCTTGCGGAGCGGACCGGGTGTACAGCGGCGAAGAGCGGCGCTACGGAATCTCTGCGCCGCAGCCGCCGCCGCCGCAGCGTGGGTCCTGCCCCGCCCGCCCGCGGTTGCTCGAATCCGGCGGCCTGGCCAGGTGAGGCCGAGGCTTTATTTTTCATTTCCCCGAGTAGGCCGCGCGCGGACCCTTAGGCCGCCCACATTCCGTCTCTTTTCTGCTTTATATTTTAAATGTAGTTTGTAACGATCACTTCTACACACTGGCACGTTATTTTGTCGGTGTCGATGGATTTGTTAGTGTTCTAGGTTGTCGGTGGGTTGTGTTTTGTTGGGGGTGGTGTTTGGGGATTTGTCGCTGGGGCGTGGTGGCAGTGTTCGTGGGCTTGATTGTGGAATCATCTAGATTGTGTTATTTGCAATGGAACTTTGTTAACATTTTGTCTTGCGGTGGCTTGTCCCAGTACTGTGGTGATCAAACGAAACCTAATGACACCGATGAACCAGAGCGTCAGTGATGCGGCTGTCAATGATGTCGGCCTTGATGATTTTCACACTTGTGCCCTGCCACGTTAAGACTTGTGTATTTTTTTTGTAACCGTTTAACATTGTACAACTTACAAATTAAACTGCGCATTGCAACGCTACGCCCGCCGCATGAAGTGTAAATAATGGTGTTGCAGTAATTGTACTCTGGTATTATCGGGTGGAGAATTGGCACGGTGCTTTTACTGCAACTGGTTTATGAATCCGCCAACCTAAGTTCGATTCTCAGCCACGGCAAACATAAGTGTCGAATGATAGATGAACCGGTCCAGCCCCCCCCACCTTTAATACATTTTGACCAGTGTGGAGAAGTATGGCTAGACAACTTACATCACTGACAAGGCGTGAGAAGGCCGTAATTTAGCAGTGGATCGACAAGAGGGCCTGTTTGTAATGAAGTTGGCAGCGTGGGTCATAATCCAGCAGTGGATGGACAAAGGGCCTTAAAGTATTTATGTGATGGGGTGTTATATTTAGCTTTTGCATGGGACTGTTAAAAGGTTTGGTGCAACAATAAATGATGGCAATGCCAAAAATGGCGTTTAAAAGGGGAAGCATTTTATCCTCCCAACCCCCGGCGAAGTTTCACCAATGAGTGATTTCATCAGTGTGTTTGGCAGAAATGTGGCCACTCGATCGGCAAGCGAAACCACTGAGTCAGGGTCATATTGACTGTATTGGTATTTGAGGCAGATTCACACCGTGGGATGTGAGGCCAGGGTGGCGTCGCTCACAGTATCGTCGTCACAAACACGAGGACGGTTTGTGCTTCCAACTTAGGCAGAGGCTTCTAAAAATAGTGGTTCAAACCAGACGCCACACGGCTTCACACTTGTCTAGTATCTGAATTTATTCTATTTAACACAAAGCGCAACGTTTTATGCGTTATTATTAAGCTGCACAAGTTGGCCTTCCTCTTTGTTACAGCAATAACTTGTACAAAATGTAACATTTGAGAACTTTTTAGAAATTTATTTTCGGAGAAAATTATTATTTGTAACTTCCTTACGACTTATGTAAGCAACGAAACTGACAGTACAAGCTTCGGCATTCAAATTTCTGTCACGTTAACGTTAATTGAGCGGCGAAACTTAACCGATGTGGGTACTGATCATGCGCTTTCTCGCTTGTTGAACAGGACACCCCTTATTGCTGTCAGACTTGGAATGGGCAACATGCAGGGTGGGTCTGTAATGGTGCAGTTGGCAACGGGGGTGCAGGCGTGCCCGGTGGAACTTCTCCGTCAGCGTCGCACGTATAATGGTTTGGTGGAATACCTGATCCGCTGGCATGTTTCTTCGGCCGAGGAGAACGGGGGCTGTGGCGGTGGCGGCAGCCCGGTGGCTTGCAGCTCTGCCAGCGATCCCGCTGGCAAGTCCGAGAACATCCTCATGTGGATGAGCGAAGAGGAGGTTTGCGCCTGCTGCGGTGGCTTGCTAGGGAACCGCAAGCCCGAGGGAACCTGGGGAGGCTGGGTCAAGGCGGACATGAACAGCAGCAGCGACGACTCTAAAAGCAGGATTGAGAATGACGTGCATGCGGCAACCACCGGGACTGGCCATCGAAACACTTTGGGAGAAACGGGCCTGGAGGACCAGGAGTTTGCATTGATGAAGGGGGATGTGCAGAAGCTGGTGCAAAGGGCACGGCGGCAGGTGGAGCGGGCGCCGGGCCCCGAAGCTACGCATAACATCTCGCACATCATCCACGTGCTGAGCGCCTACGCCTCCATTGGGCCACTGGCTGGAGTCTTCAAGGAGGCCGGGGCTCTTGACTTGCTCATGGAGCTCCTGTGCAACAATGAGACGCAGACTCGCCGCAGTGCCGGGCGCATGCTGCGCGCACTCGCGTCACATGATGCAGGTAACTCGTGCACTGCTCGTCACACTAGGCGATTTTTATACTTTTTTTGCAGGCCAGAGTTTGTGGAGTTTTCATGCCGCGTTTGCAATGGTAATGTTGTAAACCTGATTTGTCTGCCACGTGGGATAAATATCTACTTGCAGCAGATGTGTTGTGAGAGTCTTATCAGTTTGATTTTCGTTCATTTCACATTTTCACTGACAGTTATGGGGGAGAAATGTTGCATTTGTATTGCTCAACTTATAATGTAAAAACAAATCGTGTATTCATAGCCTTCAATGTGCTATGATGGAGAGGTGGCCGGGTGGCTCAGGTTGAAGTGACCAGGCACCACTACCTTTCTCGGTTTGAATCCACACAGACACCTGTGATTAAACCATGCTCTCAAGAGTGAGTTTATGGTCTTGGCCCAGTGAGTAATGACTGCACGCAATATACCATCACATTCAATTTGATTCTGCACTGAATTTTGCATAATTCCAGCTCTGAGAATTAACTATCTATGTGACGTGACAAACATTACTGTCATAGTAATATCAATCATTATAGACAGTGCTGTGATGGTACATGTAGTTCCCTTTTGTAAATCCACTGCTGGATGACTGCCTCCCCATGCTGTACAGGTCTGTTCGGTTATTTTACCATACTTCACACTGGCCAGTGTGGATTGGTAAAAGCGAACAGCATGGATGTGAATACTTAGAGTACAGAACAAGCACTGGTATAGCTGGCTAATTGTGAATTGCTGTTGCGCGTTCCGCCTGGCAGGAAGCCGGGCGTACGTGCTGCTCTCCCTCAGCCAGCAGGATGGCATCGAGCAGCACATGGACTTTGACAACCGCTTCACACTACTGGAGCTCTTTGCTGAAACGACCTCATCGGAAGAGCATGGCATGTCGTTTGAAGGCATCCACCTCCCACAGGTAGCGAAGGCAGCATCTGCAATCATTAGGGGTCTGTCCTTGTCGGCGATGAAGTCAGATTGTTTAGATTCATGGGTTCAAACTTAAAAAAAGATATACAATTGAGACGGTTTGTATCACATATAATCCTACGTAGATTAAATTTAAATCATGTGAGAGGCCGAATGAGACTAAATGTTTCCCTCAGGGGAGACTTGGATCACACATCAATACCGTGTACAATATATATGTGATCAAACAGTCGAAACAACACAAATACATCACAAACATGACAATCAAATAAGATACGATTCTTGAATTGAATCATGACACCAAAGTGTGGTAATTCATCAATTTGTAGTGGTAAGCAAATCATTATATATATGCATGTTATAGAGCTACCGTCCCTCTGGCCAAATAACCTAGAATGTATCCAGTCTGATCAGATCTTAGAAGCGAAGCACGGTTGAGCATGGATAGTGCCTTGGTGGGAGACTACCATCCATAAAACAGGTATTTTAAGACTGCTACAGAACTATGCTGTCAGCAGAAGGCAGTGTAATTAATCAATTGCTGTACCGTTCTAAGCTTCAATGCCTATGCACCCCGCCTTCACCAACCCACACTGACCCAAGTGGTGGAAGTATTGTCAAATAATCCCCATGACCTGCTTGGCTTGGGAAAACCCTCATCCAGCAGTGGATTACCAAAAGGGCTACACATATACAGAGCTATCACACATTATGAAACTTTAAAAGAAAATTTCATTTTGCATTTGAAAATAAAAGATCTCGGTTTAATCAAAGACTGTGCACGCGCCAGATTCCCGGGAAGCTGCTGTTCTCGCTGGTGAAGCGCTACCTGTGCGTGACGTCGCTCATGGACCGCCTGAACAACTGCGACGGTCACGCCGACAAGGAGGACACGAGCCACGGCGCCGAGGAGCGGCTGTGGCTGCAGCGCAAGTTCGAGTTCACCATGGCCATGGCCAACCTGATCGTTGAACTCGTGAAGATCCTCGGCTGGGACTGCTCCCGCGAGGAGCGGCAGTCGGAGGAGCACTCGGACGGCACCATCCCGCCCCGGGGCCCGCACCGTTCCATCTTCCAGGCACCACCCGCCCGGAGCACTCACGACCAGCCGGCGAAGCCCAAGGCGGACGCGAACCTCCAATTCAAGACGTTCAACAGCTTCAGCACACGCAGCAGCTACGTGGAGTACGTGCAACAAGTGCTGCGGCCTGGTATGCGGGTGCGCATGCGGGAGGACTACGAGGAGGTGAACGCCGGTGACCAGGGCGAGTTCAAGCAGTCCAACGATGGCAGGCCGCCTGTGCAGGTAACCGTGTGTTGTTTTGCGTGTGTGTTTGGTGGGGTGCGGGTAGTCTTTGTGTGTGTCTGTACATGTGCAAAACAACTCCCACCCGTGAGTGTTATTCTGCGTGGATGCGCACACATTTATAGATGCCTATGCGTGTATGTGTTTGTGCGTCTGTACATTTCTATGTGTCATCTACGTATGTGTGTGCATATGTGTGAGCAAAATGTGCGTGTGTATATGTGTGTCTGCGTGCGTGTACTTGTGTCTCGGGGCAGCAGACTGTCAAACAACAAGGTGTGGCTCTTCTTATGAACAAAAGAATGAAGGGGGCGTGGGAGCGTGGCGGTGAGGTGTGGGAAGCTGTAAGCCCCAGGCTACTTTGGGCTCCCCTTCCCATCAATCGGAGGCGAGGAGTGGTGGTCGTGGTTACTTATGCCCCCACCGAAGACGAACATCCGTGGAGGGATGCAGGCAAAGCCGATGAGTCAGATGCCTTCTATGACCTCCTGTCACAGGTGCTGGCTAAAGTGGCCCCTCGGGATGGAGTCATCTTGTTGGGTGACTTCAATGCCCGAGTGGGTCATGATGGTGGCACCTGGTCTGGAGTGATTGGAGGACATCGGCCAGATCAGCTCAATAACAACGGTAGGAGGCTGCTAGATTTTTGTGCAGCCCATGGGCTTGTAATTACCAACACGCTGTTCCGGCATTGGCGCATCCACACAACATCATGGATGCATGCCGGGTCCAAGCAAGAACATCTGCTGGACTACATAGTGATGGACCAGCGGATGCGAGCCCATGTCCTTGACACCAGGACCTACGGTGGAGCTGATCTGCCCTCTGACCATCGACTTGTCATCTGTAAGATGCGCCTGCCATTCTTCCGCTCCGGTGGTGGGTGTACACCCAAGACCCCATTCCAACCTAAAGTAGCCTGGTCTCAGTTATCTGATGAAAGTTGCAAGCGAGAATTCCATCATTGCCTGCGGCTGGGGTTGGCATCGTCCCCCACTCCTCCGGATGTCGAGGGTAAATGGGTGAGGTTTAGGACTGTCACTCATGCAGCTGCATTGGCTGCTTTGGGTACGTGGTCCAGACCTCCCCAGAGACCCTGGCTGACAGAGGAGGTGTTCAGGATAGTTGAGAAAAAGCGACAGGCCCACTGTCACCGGCTACATAATCCCACGTCAGAGAATGAGGAGGCTTACCACAGCCTTCGCTCGGAGGTTCGGAGGGCTGTGAGGCGCTGCAAGGATGGGTGGTGGTCGCGGGTTGCTGAGGAGATGGAGTCTGCTTCAGTGGCCCGCGATCACAAATCTCTATTTAACTCCATCAAAAAAGTAACGTGCAGCGCCACACCTATTACCATCATTAGGGGAAAAAACGGTGATCCAATCTCCGACCCCCAGGAACAGGTTTGCAGATTTGCTGAGCATTTCTGTGAGGTCCTGGGGGAGGGAAAATCCCTCAGCCAGGAAAACATCGTGGCACAAAGTGAGGATGACCCTGCTGAGGCTGCGGTGCCTCAAATATTGGAAGAAGTCACCCCCTGTGAGTGGCTGGCTGAGGTGCCATCTGTTGAGGAAGTATTGAAGGCGATCCGGAGTCTGAGACCAGGAAAGGCAGAGGGCAGAGATGATCTCCCAAGCGAAATGCTGAGGGAGGGTGGCGTTTGTGCACAAACTGCCCTATATGACATCATAACAACAGTCTGGACCACTGGACGGGTTCCGCAGGATTGGAAGGATGCCCTGGTGGTCCCCCTCTTTAAGAAGGGGGACCGAACAGACTGTAACAACTACAGGGGCATCTCACTCCTCAGTGTGCCGGGAAAGGTCCTGGCAAGGATTATTCAACATCGCCTTGCCAGGCACGCTGAGGAGAGGCTTGCGGAGCCCCAATGCGGTTTCAGGAAAGGGCGGTCCTGCACAGATGCCATATTTTCTGTACGTCTGCTACAGCAGAGGTGTAGGGAATTCCAGCAAGACCTACATCTCTGCTTTATTGACCTGGTCAAGGCCTATGATACCATCAGTAGGCCTGGACTCTGGGTTGTTCTTCGTGCTTTTGGAGTACCTGACCCTCTGCTCATGATCATTAAGGAGACCTTCATGACGGTGAGCGGGCCCGGGTAAAACTACTTGGCCGGGAGTCAGAGCCATTCCCTGTACATTTTGGGGTGCGACAGGGATGTCCTCTGGCTCCCACATTATTTAACATCTATTTTGACCACGTAGTTCGTGAAGCCTTCAATAGCTGTACCGGGGGAATCTCCATATGGTACAGATATAATGGGAGGCTGATCGATGCCCGGGTGCGGTCAAGGGATGGCTCCCTATTGCTCAACCACGTTATGTATGCCGATGATTTGGTAATAGCGGCTCATTTAGAGGAGGAGTTGGAGACGCTGCTGCTGAGACTGGAGCGTGCTACTAAGAGATGGGGCCTTACCATCAGCCCCACCAAAACTAAGCACCTGCCTGGGTATTTTGTACCATCGGACACTCCACCCCCACAACTCCCAATCGGTGATGGGGCAGTTGTGGAGAGAGTGGAGAGTTTCCCATACCTGGGCAGTGTGCTTATGACCGGCTCCAGTTTAACAGCAGAGGTCTCACTCCGAATCAGTCAAGCAGCAATATCTTTTCATCGGTTGCGTAACGCTGTGTGGAAGCTACCTGGTCTGTCGCTCCGCACAAAGCTTCAGGTCTTCTCAGCCACGGTCATTACCTCCCTTCTCTACGCTTGCGAAACGTGGATCCCCCTAATGGAACATCTTCGCCGGTTAGAAACATTTAGGCTGGCCTGCCTACAATCCATCCTCGGTTTAACCAGTCTGAATTGTGTGAGGAGCTCACAAATCCTTGAAAGATCTGGGCACGGTCCTATCGGTGAGCTCCTCCGGCAGGCAAGGCTGCGTTGGCTGGGTCATGTAGCCCGCATGCCCAGCCACCGCATGCCGAAACAGCTTTTGTTCGGCCGGATCGAGGGGGCTAAATGGGTGCGGCATGGGCTAGAGAAGAGATGGAGTGATGTGGTACAGGAGGACGTGGAGCTGAGTGGACTTGCCGATGACTGGTACCAGCGGTGTCAAGATCGGCCTCTATGGAGGAGGCTCGTGAAGGATGCTACTAGGCAGTTGGAGGCAGTCGCCCTCCAACAACAACGGAGGGCGGAGGAGCGAAGCTCACAACAACGAGCGGAGCACCGGGTGGCTAAAGCACAGCAGGTTGGCACAGTAGGTTGGCACAGTAGGGGGCACAGGTGGTGCATCAGCCAGTCATCTCAGTCAGTCGACCCGTGGCACCTGGGTCTGCCGTGTGACCTCCTGCCAGCGGGCGTTCGACACTTCACGTGGCCTCAAGGTGCACATGGCCTGGCACAAGCGTTGTGGTGACGTCACCGCCACTTAGTGGCGAATGGCGGTTGTTTTTGTGTCTGTGAACCCATACATTTGTATGTCTGTTGTGCCAGCATTAATAGATGCTCCCTGACGGCACTTGCCTTAGTATTTGATTGGTGAGCAAGTATGCATTTTAATATTTTTCTGTGAATGTCAAGGAGCCCACGATAATTTGATATCATATTTGTGGCCAGAAAAACGGTTTAACATGATTATAAATAGCATGCTAATCTTCGTATGATTCATATTTTTCCATCTGTGTTCATCAGGTGCTTTGGGATTCAATGAATAGGACTTTCTGGGTGTACTGGCACATGATAGAAATCATGTCCGAACAGTCAGCCATGGCACAGCCCAAGCTGAACCTTGAAAAATCGCCCGAGTTCATCGGAACCATGAAGCCGGATCCCGGTGAGAGGGAGGCCTCAAGCATCTGCGCCGTGACATTTTAACAGTGGAAACAAATCCTGCCGCCCTCAAACTGTTTCTACCTGTTGCAAAACCTGTTTTTATTGCTGAGTATTATTAACACAAGGTTTCAACCATTAAATGAAATTCTTGCGTTAAACCATAATTACGTTTTTTTCATTCCTCGTAAAAAATATTGCGTGTTTAATTGGTTCATAGGTAAGTGGAAACTCCGCACCCACTACAAATTGTACACGCACTGCAGTGGTAATTAACCAAATGATTTTTCCATCGTGTCGTGTCCCCCAAAGTTAAAAATGATCATTGAATCGTGGAGATGGTACATTGTTAAAGTTTAATTGCTTGTCTCATCAACCACTTTACAGCCAACTGGTTAGGCCAGATCTTGACTTAAAGCTTTCGTGACTGCAGGAATTCATATTCTTTGGGTCTTTCGGTAAAGTCACGTAGATAGGTTAGATCGTGTTTTGTTATTTTATTTGAATCTATCTCCGTGACTTTACCGAAAGACCCAAAGAATATGGTTAGGCCGGGTTGGCATTCAATCACGTAACAAGTTGAATGGTGCGTTAATACTGTGGTACATAATTTTCTTTCAATTCAAGTCTCCATTACAAAATATTGATTTATGGATCCTGTCCTATTGTATTTGCAGAGAGCCAGAGCAGACCCCTTGGCAGCTTCTACTTGCTGCCCTATCTGTCTGAGGGTACGGGGGAACATGACTCAGTGCTGAGCCGAAACCACTGGTGGGAGCTCCTCTTCTTCCTCAAGAAGTTGGAGGGCCCTCACCAAGCAGAAGCGTGTGACATCATCTCAGCCACGGCTCAGCTGAAGGTTTTTTCTTTTATTTTGTAACAACAGCAGCTGCATGCAGCAATTACTTAACACATCAGAGATGGGTTGGATGCTGAATTGCAGAGTGTGTGGTTCACTCGATATTTCAATTATTTTAATTGTGTTAGTGTGTGGAGGTGATGTTTAAAAACAATTGTCATGTTAAAATCGTGAAGAAATCTCATTTCAGTCCGACATTTTAAAATTAATTTCTCGTGCGGGAGCGGTGTACAGTGATACTGGTGATCTGAGTTCGATTCCCAGCCATGACTAACATCAGTGGCGAGTGATGTCTAATTGTGTCTTGGAGGGAGGGGTTGGCCCCCGTTCGCTAACTGATCTGTTAGAGTTGGTTAAGTGTTGTCAATCAACCCCCATGATCAACATAGAGTGGAGTTTCCTTCATACTGGTAGGAACCTCCTGGTTACACCAGCCCACAGGGGATTATTGTGTCCGTCCGTCGTGCATCCAAAAATCGGAGGGGTGGGGCTGGGTGGAGAGGGGAGGGTGGGGAGGGAGGGGCTGGGTGGGGAGGGTGGGGAGGGGAGGGTGGGGATGGGCTGGGTGGGGTGGGGAGGGGCTGGGTGGGGAGGGGCTGGGTGGGGAGGTTGGGGAGGGGCTGGGTGGGGAGGGTGGGGCTGGGTGGGGGGTGGGAGGGGAGGGGCTGGGTGGGGATGGGCTGGTCACCCCGTGGTGCCCTTATAAAACTCAACGTTTAACCTACTCACGCCGGCTTGTGCCCGCCCTCACAGTTGGGCATCATTGCGGAATACACCACGTGGTGCCGCCGTTGACCCTGGCCATTGACCGAGCAACCCAACGTTCCTACCAGCTCCCTCCGCAGGAATGTGTTCCAGCAATTGTTTGATAAAGGGCTTAATGTAATAGTATTAACATGTAGTTCGTGTTCTCTTCTGTCCTAATTAGGTCTCTTCACTGGATGACATTTCTCTGGTATCATTCCTCCCCAAGTCCGAACTGGCATGCCAACTTCTTCAGCACCTCATACACACCAACCCGCCTTTCAGGAAGGACTTGGAGATGTCCCAGGTCTCCCAAAAATTTGCACCCAAAAGCTCCTCACAGTTAACTGATGACAACACCGCCTTTCAAAACACGGACAGCACTTTCAGCGATAAATTGTTGCAGTCCTCTCCAGTCGACATCCCCGCTTTGTCATCCTCCAAGAAATCAAAAAAGGACGAGACATCGCCATCCAGCTCGTCGGCCTGTCAGAGCCACAGTAAGGGCGAGTCGGCGAAGCAAGGCGCGTCGCCTTGGACAGAAGACCTGGAGAAGGTGGAAGGAGTCGAGGAAAAACTGTGCCAGTTTGAGTCTGTCAAGTCCTCAACAAAGAAGACTTTCTTGGCCAAAGGGCAGGATGTATGGGAAATCATGAAGCAGTCGCAGACGGACGTGGCTCTGCACGTGGCCGGTCTGCAGACCATGCAGCACATACTTGAGGAGGACACCTCCAGCAACAAGAAACTGCCAACCAAGTTCGAGTCGGGGCAGTCAACGAAGGACAAGCTGCTCAACGCGCTGGTGGAAGAGATGGACAAGTTTCAGAAGGAGAAGGTTGTGGTGCTCTCCGTGTTCAGGGTCATTATTGCGCTACTGCAGAAGGTGGACTACCGGATGCTGTTCGCCATCGACGGAGGGATTCAGGCCCTGCTCAGCTGCATGCAGCAGCATGCCGATGTTTTGGTCATACAGCAGCTTGGTCTAGAGGTGTGTGTGTGCCTATTTATCACGTAAGACTTTTCAATAATTACTTAGAGGGGATTGGGTTTCTTTTCACTAGTTATTTGATTAAAGTAAGGAAGAGTAGATAAAAATATATCCTCTAGATCTGCTATAAAGATACCTCTTGTAGAGGCCCTTCTGCCAGGAGTGGTGTGAACAATACATTGAAGGATGTCGGCATTAGAATAAGAATTTGTTCTAATCAGTTCATTGCTCAATGACTAGTAAGAGGGCACCCTCCACCCCAACATCCATGCCTTTCTGTCGAAGCCCCCAGGTAACCTTCCTCAGTGCGAGGTAATGCATTATCCTTTCCTACCCCCATAGTCTGGATCGCCCTTCACCCAACCATTCGTGCTGTCGACTCCCTGGAACCTGTTGAAGTCTAGCCCAAAGACCTCATTCTATTATTGATTTGTTGTCGACAGTTTTCACAGCAATGTGTACGTGCGTTATAGTGCACAGTACGTTTAACACGTAGGATTTCTCAATGCTGGCAATTTCCTGATGAAGCTGGTTGTAATCACCAGCGAAAGCTACGTACTCGATTTGTAAATGTTGTGGGCTTGCTCTCCAACACACAACCCGTGTGCTAAAGTAGTAACTACTCGGCACCTTTTGTTTACGTGACAAACCTTACTTATCGGCTGCGTCGGGTCGTGGCGGGTTAACAACACATTTGTATTCATGCAATCTAACCCAAAAAAACCTTTATATTATGGATTGCATAGTACGTTTAGTAACATTTAAAGCAAGCGCTGCGTGTTTCGCCGGCCTCCTTTCACAGTGCTTGAGAGTGGTGATACGCGCCGAGCAGTTCGTGCTCCCGGCCAAGAGGGGCAAGGCGCGCCTGGTCCCGGACGCGGACTGCCGCGTGATTCGCGAAGTGGTGTCCAGCATCGCGTCCGCTACGGAGGGCGATTCGCCCGGCCTGCTCGCCACCATCCCGGCCGCCATCGAGCGAATGCTGAGCACGCAGGGGTGAGGCGGGGGGGGGGGCCGGGCCGTGGGCTCGTGGGCAGCGAGAGTCGAGCGGGGAGTGCGTGCGCCCCCCCCCCCCCCCCACCGAGTGCAGTGTCGGCTGTCCCGTCCCAGGAGACATACTCATTACATTAGGAAGCATCACACTGATACTGCCGGTGGAACAATAATTACTGTAAATTAATTACGCCTCCGTCCCATGAGCACATTTTTCCATGAATCTATTTATAAAATGCATTTAATACTGATCTAAGCGTGTAACTTTACCTGAAAAAAACTTTATGCATTTTACGATTAACTCCTGTGCCCCCTTGATCGTTTGCCATTATTCGGGGGTTGTGATTCAACTCTATAAAGTTTATAAATGTTTTGTGTCTTTATTTTAGAGTATGTTGTCTCTTACTGTGGGTGTCAATTGTATAGTTTTGTAACCTCCGCCATCTTACATGTTACATCAAGGTGCGTTGGCATTGAAGACATTCAAATCCACATTACCTTGTTTTGTTACATCTGCATTTCATTTGCATGTAATTTGAGTATCATATTTTTCACCTGATGACGATTGCTTGTGTTGCGATCAAAACGTCGTGATATTTATGTTTTTTTTTCTATCTACGTGGCTTTACCGAAAGACCCAAAGAATATGAATATAAATAATCGAGTCTTATGAGCATAGTTCAAGGCATCTGTCTTGAGGGTAAGAATCAGTGTTTTTTTTTTTGCAGGATGATTTAAATGCATTGTTACCTGCCTAGCCATCACGACCGTGTTGAGTGGATCGTTTCATGCTCTGCGTCCTTTTCCCCAGGTGCGGCGCGGCGGTGGTCGACGGCCTGCAGGTGGTCATCATGCTGATGACCAACCACAAGAGCCTGGCGGAGCACCTGGCACGTGCCGGCCTGCAGCGCGTGCTCTACCAGTGCCTGGCCAACGCTGGCGGCGCTGCGGGCGGCACTGCGGGCGACGCTTCGCTCTCGGCGTCTGGTGCGGCACGATCCCAGCAGCAGCAGCAGCAGCAACAGTCCGTGCTGGTGGTCACCGCGCTGGGCATGCTCACCGAATTCGATCTCGTCTCGGAGGACTCGGCCAGCGGTGCGCTTGCTTGCTCTTGATGGGGATCGTTTCAACTCTCCGTCGTGTTTTTGGGTTGTGCCGCACGCTGTTAAGCATAACGTCCGACGTTTCACTCCGCGTGCTGGGGGCTGCTTCCTGGTCCTCTTTCTCCACTCGTTCTCTGTCCTTGGCCATCTCCACATCAACTCCGCAGTCCTTCATATTTTGGTTTACCGCTTCAAACCCCCCCCCCCCCTTTTTCTAGGCCTGCCTCTCTGCCCTCTTGCTGGATGATTATAACTGATACATATTCCCTCATGAGAAGATGGCTTAATAAGCATTACTTATTTTAATTTTCCTCATTGTCGTTTTTCTGGAAGGGATGTAGCAAATGTATACTCTGAGTCGACAATCGAGGAGTTTTCCATACGGTAGACATTGTGTTGTCTTGTGCATGTCTGAAATTTGGACGGTCTCGTTTAACCACTCACTAAAATGATCAAGCCAGATCACCGTGCTTTTTTGCAGTAAAACAAAATAAAGGTGTACACGACAATGGATTTCGCAGTAAACGTGCAAGGTGCAGTTCGTTCCGTGAATCAGAATGAAAGACGATGCAACACGCAGCACACCATGGGCGTGTATACCGTGGGGGATCTGGCTGTGGATGGGGAAGCGCTCCCTTCGGTGACGTCGCCTTTTGTCGCGCGCATGCGGTTCCGGCGTTGCGTGCAGAGCAATCGGTGGTGAACTGGAAAGACGTGGAGCTGCGCACGATCCTGGCGAGCCTGCGCAAAGGCGTCCTGAGCAAGGAGCTCGTGCTGTCTCTGGAGCGCTGGATGAACAGCGCGTTGCTGGAGCCGCAGCTGACCAGCATCGTCAATGACCTTGACATCTTCAAGGCCCTGGTGCAAGCGCTGGACAAGCTCCGGTCGGAGAAGGTGGTGCAGCTCGCCGTAGTCCGGTACGCCTTTTTAATGATGTTCGTCTGTGGCGTTCACGTGTAGAGTGTTTGTTCCCGGTCGGTGTGCAGGGTGTTGTCCAGTTGTGCAAGCGGAGTTCTAGTATGAGTGTTTGGTTGGTCAAGAAATAGAATGTTCACTTCCAAAGAGTTGTGGTTTCTTTCAAGAGCCATTTCCTTTTGTTTTACTTTGTGGTGAATGTTATCTCCTCTCGTGGCTGGGTGAACTAATGGCATACAATGTACATATTGTACATTTAGAAACAATGACAGTCGATGAATCAGTGTATACTCGCTCCCCTGATGAGGAATGACGCAACATATTTGCTGTATTTATGCTGGTGGTGTTGGAAAGGCAAACACATGTACAACTAATTGTTGGGATTTTGTGGCCTGTGTTGGCATGCGCGCATGTGTAGGATGTTGACCATCTTCCTCGAGAAGAGGAAAGGAGATTCTTTGCCATGGCACGAAGCACTGGTGCCTTTCCTGTCCGTGATCGGAATGCAGACCGTCGTTAAGGAGGTTCGTGCTCGTTGCCTTGCGTACAGCGAGTGACTCGCTCAATGCGCCTCTTTCCTTGAGGGATGTTAAGATGTTGACAGAGAGAGGTAGACTTGGGTGAGGTTGGGAGGGAGACACTTAATTATTTGGACTTAAAACAGAAAAACGTTATCGTGGTTTTCATAAATGTGTGTACGTATGTTTAACTTCTTTCGCACCGTACATAGCCAACCGTGCGAATTGGAGGTGCAGGGGAAGGACAATAAACCAAACACAAAACGCAGTTCTAAATCATAGAGCCTTGCACACAGACTGCAAACTCTCCAATGTTGTTCCGTCCAAGTGAAGTAAGGGCACTCCCATGTGCTTTTGAGTTGCATTGCGTGTTGTTCGGCATGATGTCCAATGCATCCTTTCATGTGCTGGAAGCTTCTTCAGGAATGGAAGCATGTGGAGTGAAACATCGAAAATGCCACCACGAAAATCTTTTTTTCTGATGTCAATGAGTTTTGCAATAGAGTCATTCTTAGTTCAAGGGTCAATGAACGAAAAAACAACGCACGTGGAGTCGCATGTCGCTGCAGGTCCAGCAGGAGTTTGTGCGATTCATGTACCGGCTGGCGTCGGAGAACAAGGACTACGCAATCGTGATGTGCCGTGTGGGAGGTCGCGAGGCCATCACACGGGCTTTGGACAAGCATGGGCCAGGGTTGCTTCTGGGAGCCGAGCTGCGCGACCTGGTCGCCGACTGTGAGAAATACGCTAAGCTCTACAAACAGCTCACCACCAGCATCCTGGCCGGCTGCATACAGGTGGGTTTGGCACTTCACTGCGCTTTGCCGCATGTGTGTGTTCGCGCGTGTCAGTATGGGGAGCGGTGGTGTAGTGGTTAGCGCGTTGCGCTACGAATCCGGCGGACCGAATTCGGGTCCCGCTCACGGCCAACACCTGTGACGATTATTTGAACCGGTCCTGGGCCGCCCCGAGGTCGACTCAGCCTCAAATGAATACCTGCTGTGGTGTGTAAACATCGGCCTTAGGGAAACAAATGCGGTGGTGCTGGCCACCCATCCTCTCGTGGACTGTGCCAGCCTTCATAGGTGCTCGCTAACAGCACTAGCCCCAACAGTCTGTTAAGGCTATATGCGGGATCTTTGTTTTTTTATTCGGCTAGTTTACACATTAACTCCATTGAGCTGGACACGTGTGTCTGGGTGGGTGGTGCAGGGAGTAGGTGCTCATGTCTGTGTTGGGGTTTTGAGCCAGTCTGCTTGGAGCGTTTTGGTCAGCACAGGGCAGTGTAGCTAAATCCATTGTTGTATTGTACTTCGATGTTCTTTGCTTCCCGACTTCACCATAGCGCACTGATCAGTGCGGTGAAACATGGTCAAATAAGCTCCACAACCTGCATGGTGTGGGGAGGTTCTCATCCAGCTGTGGATTGAAAAAGGGCTGTACATATACACATGTACTCTCTATTATAGTGGGTTTATGCTCCGTGTACTCGATACCAAGGTAAATGTATTTGTTCCTAATTTTATAGCCTGTTTGGGATACCTTGATCACTGCCAGCATTTGTGCCAACTCTCCATTGAGGGTACTATGGCAATGTTTGTGTGTGTTTTTATTTATTTGTTTTGCCCCATTAGATGGTTCTTGGTCAGATTGAGGAATCCCGTCGAACTCAGCAGCCAATCAGCATCCCGTTTTTTAATATTTTTCTACGCAACATTTGCCAAGGTACGTCATCGTTTTATCTATTGTGGGAAATAAAACGGCACTGCCAAACTGCATTTGCTGCCATGTATTTTTAAAAAGACTAAATCTACCACCAGTTAGATCTGCTCTTAGATGATTTAGACTGGGAATCTGCTGGTCAAAGTTACCAAAGACCAGCCAGTTGTCTCGAACTCTAGCCGTAGACACATAACTTAAAGATGCAGACCGAGGACTTTATCTATTTATGTCCTTTGCTGAGATAAGCAATGTGGACTCCGTTACAAATAATTATGCAGAAAACATAAGCATTTCCCAAATAAGTGCATTGTGGTTCTCTAGTCTAGGCTACTACGGGGAATATTACAAGAACCAAAGTGCATGCTGTATTGGGTTCATTGAACGGCAGTGCTGGATATTGTCCCATATAGACACTGTTGGTGTTCTGCATGTTAACGATGATGAGTTCATTTGTATTTTAGAATTGAGTTATTTCCGATTTACCAGTGTTACACAAGGAATAACCAAGTACAATAAAAACACACTTTTTTTTCGTTTTGAACCAAATGGAATGGGAATTTTTTTTCTTTCAGTTATCATTTACCTACAGAAAGATTGTCATAAGCAACGTGAAGGCGAAAAAAACGCAATGCGATTTTTATCTTCACGTAACGTGTTGGTTGATTAAACCTATGTCTGTGAACAGTAAGAGTTATTTTAATGGCAAGGTCCTGGTTTCCTTCATAGCGGCACGATCTTTTTCCTCCCGCCAGGCTCGAATGTTGAGGTGAAGGAAGACAAGTGTTGGGAGAAGGTGGAGGTGTCCTCCAACGAGCACCGTGTTAGCAAGCTGCTGGATGGCAACCCCAAGACCTACTGGGAGTCCAACGGCAGCACTGGCTCGCACTTTATTACCATCACCATGCTGAAGGGCGTCATTATCAGGCGGGTCTCCCGGGAAGGGTTTTATTAACAGATTGTCGGTTTTTGACACTTGTTCACGGAATCGATGATCGATTCTAAAAGCCATGCAATCGACGTTCGAACGCGGGTCTTTGATTGGAACGGTCAAACCTATTGCCATGGGAGGATGTTAAAATCGCCTGGCTTCTTCTACAACCCATGACATTCTAAATATGTAAACATATATAAATAACATATAGCCCTTTGTCCACTGCTGGATGAAGGCCTCACTACATCGTGTCGGTCATGGGGCTTGTTTGACCTTATAGCACCACATTGGTCAGTGTGGGTTGCTAAAGTTGATAAAACAGTGCTGGTACTCTCCACCCCTTCACCAACCGGTACCGGTATTGACCAGCGTTGTGACATATGGTCATATAACCCCCCAATGACTGACATGGCTTGCGGAGGCCTTTATCAAGCTGGGGATTGACAAAGGACTGATAATATAATTGTTACATCAGTATTTTATATCACTCCTGGGCCCACCACAGGTTCTGCGATAGCAACAAAGAATAAAATGTTGGATAAAATTGCAACCGCAAATCATCACACACCTTTTTAACAATGCTGGCCCTCACCCAGTAAATGTGTTAACCTGTCGCTAACGCTAGCATGCCTTATTAGGGTGGTGTCTGGGGCAAAGGCTGGCCTTGTTCACATCCTGTTCCATCTGCGTGCTTTGTTTTCTATCACATGGATGAGATTCCAGAATTGTCTTTTTTGGTAGCAGTCCAATTTTAGCACCGCTTTGGCTGAGAATTCCACGCCAGTGATGATGGTGTTTGTTCACAGTTGGTATGCTCTTCATCATAACAGTTTTGGCTTGCTGTGTGTTTTATGAAAGCGGGTACATTTAAAATGATGCGTTATGTCTTTGCGATTAATTACATAGTTTGAGCGAGTGGGTTGTGAGACAGTAGATTTCTTTTTATTTTACCATATTTGGATCTCATCACACAGCGGTATCTCTCTGAACAGTCTTTACCAGATTAGGGGATTGGCAGAGAGAATTGCTGGAAACGTGGCCACACAAATGCATCATACGTGACCAAAGCTCTTGCTGTGTTTTGCCAAGCGGCGAACACAACTCGGCTGTAGTGCCACCAATACAGTCTAAACATTGGCACCAATAGCTATCACTTTAAATCCATCTTCAAGGAAAAAAGTCGCCCTCAGCAAATCGGAACTCCACTCCCGAGACAGAGTGAGCGGAGGAACGGGCTTCGTGTGGTTTTCACGGCAATGGTGCTGGCGACGCAGAGAAAGTGCCACGCTCGCTACCGATGTGACTCTGCGTTGCGTCGTTGCAGGAAGCTGTCCCTGCTGGTCGCGAGCGAGGATTCGAGCTACATGCCGGCGCGCATAGTGGCCATGGGAGGTGATGACCCAAACAACATCAACACGGAGCTCAACGCCGTGAGTGCTGCTGCCTTCACGTGTGAACAGCGTCCACTTATACTGCAGACGAAGGGTTGGGGAACGCTTTCCTTTCCCTTGCTGGGCCATGCATTAACACTCACTTCAGTCACTTCTGTCGGTGCAACAGGCCCCTTGCAGTAACATAATTGACTGGGTGTACTAAAATTAGCAACACTTATGTAAGGTCGACTGCCCGCTTAGTGCGCCTAAGATTTTTGCAGTGATGGATTCATATTTTTTGAGAGAGGAGTCGTACAACCATAGCTGCCACTGCTATCCGGTGGCCTGAAATAAAAAATATAGTTATAGTTGACCGATGTATAAAATTATTATGTATTTTGATTATAGTGCGCTGCTACTCCTATTGTTAATCCGGCTGTTATGGATTGATTTATGCAGCTAGCGAAGGATGCTAGGTTTAGTAATGTGTGTTGTGTGTGTCGCTATTGTAAACTTGTAATCACATTTGTTGGGAAAACTGTTACGTTGTTTATATAGCATTGTTTTAGAGGGGCTTGGTTTGGCCCGATTTTTTATTTAGTATAGATTTATACTTAATTTTGATCTTCATTGTATTACGATTGTTATTGGGATCAAACATCGAAATGGAATTTTTTGCACTTTTTGTACACAGCATGGACGGGTGGTGCTTTTTCTGTAGGATTTTATTGTTTACGTACGTGATGTTTAGATCTGTGTACAATGAATTTTAGGTGTATCTTGTAATTTATTGTTTGTTGTGGTTGAACCCAAATCAAGAGCCGAATGGCTCACAGGGTTAATCCTAATAAATGAAACTTAAACTGAAGGTATCATGGGGCTATGGGCCATGTGAAATGAAAGTCGTAGCCTCCCCTCCCACCTCTGCTGGAGAGAACACGGGAGCCAGAGCGATTCACCTCAACCTCCCCAGCGATTCAATGAATAGTCGCAATGAGAACGCATTGCATACAACAACTTATAAATGAGGGGAAAAAAAACATTGCTTCTACCGAACGTAATTTGACACATACGTGTGCTTAAGAATCGATGTTAATCCATCAATCGCTGCTTCCTGTACCTTTATTCAATAAATGACACAGTCTGAAGGAAAATTTCTTGTCTCCAGCGACCACAGACAGACTTTTTTTTGGCTTTCGTCAGAATTATTTTGCGTGCACCTCTCTCCCCTTCAATAAGCGGGTCCTTTAGATGCTGTGGTTGTTCTGCCATAAATGCGGAAACCTTTAAATCAGTTAACAATGCTGCCTAGCAGCTTATAAGGATGGTTGAAGTGACCCTTTCACCCCCTATACAGGCAATACAAACTGTTAACACATATTCTTGGTTATTTCGGTAAAGTCACATGGGAAATGGCAATTAGTTAAGAAGTCAACAGTTGTTCACAACATGTGCTTACTGAATGCTATTCCTAAAGATTGCACAATTTCCTTACTCTTGAAGATCTTACAATTATTTTATGTAAATTGGAAGTATCGTGTGTACGTTTTATTCATGCTTTAGGTGAACGTGCCGTCTTCGGCGAGCAAGGTGGTGTTGTTGGAGAACATGACCAGGTTCTGGCCCATCATCCAGATCCGCGTCAAGAGATGCCAACAGGTGTGAGCTGCATCTTTGGCTTCAGGGCTTTTGAATGTGTATGGTGAGGCAAAATGCAGCCAGATCCACTTTTCTCAACTCCAGTGCGCACAATCTCCCACAGTCCACATTTTCAATGATCATAATATTTTTTTCTTCACGTGCAAGCTAAGCCAGCCATTGCACACTGCATGAACCTAATGGTTGGTAATCCAGGGGTTGTAGTGGTGGGGTGTTGGGGGTCACGAGGACTCAAATTGAGAAGCACCGAGCTACATAACCCGAACATGTTTTTCCTTTGTACGAATTTCTCACGCCGTGATTCGTAACACATTCTAGCGCTGCCTGTTTTTCGTTGGCCGTGCCTCACTGGACCACTTCGACCATCTCCCCCACCCCCCCCCCCCCCCATCCACCACGCTCCGTTTGCTCCACCGCAGGGAGGCATAGACACGCGCGTACACGGGTTCGAGATCCTGGGCCCCAAGCCGACGTTCTGGCCCGTGTTTCGCGAGCAGCTGTGCCGCCGCACGTGCTTGTTCTACACGGTGAAGGCCCACGCCTGGACGGAGGCCGTGCGGCTCAACCGACTGCACATGCTGCAACTCTACAACAAGTAGGGGAGGGGGGGGAGATGTTTGCCACGTGACGAATTTGCGACGTGCTGAATTGTAAACATTACGGAAGTGCCCCTTGAAGGCAGATGGGTTACTCAATGCGTTAGCTGGGAACTGTTGCATTATGTTTTTCAGATTTAAAAATATCTTGATGGATACATGCTAATTTAATTGTCATATCCTGGACAAATTTCATGATCCTCTTGGGCATTATTTTAAACGAGCGTTCTGCTGTGAAATGTCTTTTCAAGCGCTTGTGGTATTATTTTCAGTAGACATTTGTGTGGGGTCACGAACTGTTTTTGAAATGACTTTAAAATGACTCATTTGGAAGTTTGTAAAACTTCCCATCGCTATTGTCTGGTTGATGACAGTTTTGAGCTTGGAATAAGTAGAAAATAAACCCATCGTAGGTTTCTTCATCCCTTACACACTCTATTATAATAATACACACAGTCCTTTGTCAATGCACCCTCGGAAGAAGGCTCCAACTTTGGCATGTCGGTCATGGGGGTTGTTTGACCATACTTCCCTGCGCTGGACCCGAAGCTATCCATTAATTGCCTTTTATTAGCGATCACCACCAGCCCCCCTTCCCCACAATGTCCTGTTTTTCAACAACACTCCCATCGTATCTTAGCTGCAGTAACCTTGTCATGTCCCCCATGTGCTGCAGCATTGTTCAATGTGTTGGAAACAAAAGCTGTCCCGCGTCGGCTTGGTTCTTGGCTTTGTTCTTGGCGATCGCAGATACTCTAAATGGATTTATACAATGTCGACGCCTGCAAAACTCAGCGAGCAAAATATTGGCTGAAATCCTAGACTTGCAAAACGCTGTCACAGCTGATTCAAATATTTTGCCAAGAACAGGTGTGGCTTCCACTTGACCTTTGCATTTTGCTGAAGCAGCATCCCAATCGTCTGCTGGCAATAGCGGCAACGACTTCACGCAAAATATACAGTCAGCCTTGATAAGAGTGCTTCAGCACAGCAGCATTAATTTACAAATGGTCTCTCAAATACCAATGCAAATTGAATGCCCACAACCATCATCTGCACAGTACAATACATTATCATGGAATCTATAAGCCCCCTTGGTTGCAATAATGCGGTTATGTAGGCCAGGATTGTTTCAACTGGTGTGCCATTGTGGCCTGCGAAGGTTCTTGGGAGTGGCCCACCCAAGTTCTGGCCTCCCGAGAAATATAGCCCGCCAAGATATAAACAGATGCAGTTTATTGAGATGCAAAATAAATTAATAAGATCGAGACCAAGAGACCTAGGGGCAAGAATGTACGGATCAGTGGTTGCATGTGCAGATGTTGTAACGTCGCGCTGCTGTGTGGCGTTATAACACGTGTACAATGATGTCAAGTGGCACGCCAGCACATGGTACTTTTGAATGTGGCCCTTCGCAAAATATAATAGTAGAACACTGGTGTTGGGGCTCTTCCGAGAGTGGACCTTCACCAATTACTGAAATGTTTACCCGCAGGCTGGGTGCTGTCCTTCGCCACGAGCAGAGCTTCACCGAGCAGTTCCTGCCGGACCCAGAGGCGGCGCAGGCCCTGGGTCAGACCTGCTGGGAGGCGCTGGTTACTCCCATTGTCAGCAGCATCACGGCTGAAGGTGCCACATCCCATCCTTTTCAACACTCCCCAACCATCCCTCCTGAAGACGGCGCTGTGTTGCGGGCAGTTAAATGCTTGCACCGTGCACCACGGTTGATCATTGACGTTTCTCCGTGCCCGGTGGGGTGTGTAGGCTCCGGCGAACAGGCCAGCCCGTTTCGCTGGCTGCTACAGGAGTACCTGTCGCAGAACGAGCAGCACCGGCGCGCCGGCCGCGGCAAGGCCCTGGTGTTCGCGTCGCGCGTACGCCGCCTGTGCCGCCTGCTGGTGCACGCCAACACCAACCCCATCGCCAGTACCGACATCCACGTGCCCGCCAAGCCCACAGGTGTGCGGCCCGGCAGCTCGCCCTGTTGCCGCGTCCCTTACACTGCCGCCTCACCCCGCCAGTGTTACCATCACATCAGTGTGAACTTTGGTTTAGGATTAACCAACACCGCTTGATTATCACCAGCCATGATCTATCCACTGCTGGACGAAGGTGTTACCCACTCTGCGTCAGTTATGGGGGGGTTGTGTGACGAGCGCGTCACCATTGCTGATCGGTGCAGGTTGGTTACGTTGGCACCAAGTAACCACCTCAGATATAGTTTGCCCACTGATTTTTAGCAGTGGATGGGAATCGCACTGACCGGGGGCAGGACTCATAGCATATTACGCGAACCACTTTTGTCACCTTTCACCAAATCCAGTGATCTACTCTATGGTATATGTGCTATGAAGAAGGGTCACTTCCAGAATTCTCACCTATTGTATATTTTTTTTACTTCATGGTGTAGCGATGGAGAAATATTATAGGCTGGACAATGGAGATGGGATGACGAGATTTTGAGAAATGCAGAGTATAAGAACTTTGGATCAGAATGTGTCAAATCTTCACAGGCAGTTATCTCCGACAACGCTTTTACCGTGAACAACTGTCGAAGCTTGGTTCGACAATATCATCGAGTGGACAGGGTTTGTGGATAACTGACTAAATAAGCACTCCAATCGCACAAGCTACAATGCAATGTCCTTTATTAAAGCGGTGCATCCATCTGCTCTCTCTGGCAGGTGCAAAGGGGGCTCAGACCAAAGACAAAGACTTTGAGTTTGACGAAGCTAGCGCTGATGCCAAAAGGCACAACAGCGTTGCCCCGCTCGCCGCTTGCTGGGCCTCGGTCGTCCAGGCGCAGGTGAGAGTCGTGTGCGAGATGCCGCCCTGGCACACCACGTGTGTATGAGGGTGTGCCCCTTCTTTCCAGCACCTTCAAGGCAATTATGTTTGTTTTTGACAGGATATCTATGGAGTCTTCTGATTCATCGTTCATATTCATACTTTTTCACTGAGCATCATCAAAGGCTTTTGGCAGAATTCTTCAAATATATTTTCTGGCGAACCACGTAATAAAATTAGCATATGGTGGCGGAACCACATGACTTCATATGTCACATTGTACATACATAATGACGTCACGTCTGTACATATGTTATGACGTCACATGCCCAGTGGGCCATTTCTTAAGTCTTAACGGGTCAGATGTAGCTCGTGAGCCACCAGTGGAAAAAACCCTGACTTAGGCCCCCCTGCCACCTCTATGACTAATGATTCATTACTCGCTGATGGACTCCAGTCGCTCGCGCACAAGCGATCAGTCGCCTCCTGATCACTCTTCTATTATACTCCCATGGTTACTGTTCCCATGAATGGCACTCATTGACTCCTCCATTCATGTTGAGGACTGGGTCTATCAGACTTTGATCTCACCCACACTGTGTTCAACCACCGCACTGTAGGTCAAACCACTTCCTTTTTTGCTTTTCTGAGACATCTTTCCCAAAGTTCTTACATTTTCTAAATGTGATTTTTGTTTGTTTTGATCTGCTATTATCTATTACATTCGGTCGTGCTGTTTGCTGCTGACCACTTTGTGCTTTGAGCCAAATTATTAACATAATCAACTAAACACCTCCCCCAGGTTTCCACATTTCTGAGCGCCCACTGGAACAATGCCGAGTTTGCGGAGAAGTACGGCGCGCAGTTCTCCCAGCTGAGCGCGGCATCGCGCGAGCTGTTCGGCAACCACGTGGCATTCGCCGTGGCACTGCGGGAGGGCTTCAGGTCGGCGCTGCTGCAGCTGTCGCACAACCGTGCCCTCAAGGTGACCTTCACGGCTCGACCACTCCGTGGCCACGACGTGCGCCCCCACATTGTCGTGGTGCGAGCTGTGGCTGAGTGCTGCAGGTTGCTGAATTCTGTACTGATTGGTTGATTGGTGGAGTGTGTGGTTTAACCACTCGCCCCCTTTGCCATTCAATGATTTGTCTTGATTTAAGGTCACTGTTCTACTCGAGTGTTTTTTTTTTATTACGTTGTGGAGAATGTAGCCGTCTGTAATCGCTGGAAGCGGTCATACGAACTCCAAAAAAATATTTATTACTGATACATTTTGATGTATTGTGATGTTTGGCTTAAACCCTTAATTTGCTGCAAGTAGCCTGTCTTGACAAGCTGCCCTTTTCCATCCTACACAGGTTCACCAACCATTACGCCTGCTTCCTCCTCAATACATCTACAACACTTTCTTGCCACCCTCCATAGACAGCAGCAATGAAATAATGTATATAAGACGCAAGTAATAGCTCCCTCCTCTCCCAGCCTGTGATTCGGTACATTTTCTCTTTTTTTTACCTTCTAGTTTCTAATTTTCTTTTTCATTTCTTCCATTATCCTTAAGTTAAGAATCTCATATAATATTTAGGCAATTGATTTTCACACAATGACACGTTGAACACATTGTGAGCGTACAAATAGATTTTTTTGTGTATCCGTTCTCAGGTTTGTTTTCAGGTTGTATCGCATGCTGCAGAGGAGCCTCTTCTGTACGTTAATTTCAGTATCTGAAGAATCTCGCAGCACGTGTAACGAAACGTTGGACACCATGCCAGACAACATGCGGCGCTACATGGCACAACCGCGCCAACCTGCACAGTAATGGGTTTCTATCGATGAATCTTTTACATGCCTAGCACGTTGTACATTTTTCCGTGCGTATGTGTGTGTGGCTTGTGTGTTGTAGGTCTGTGAGATATTTGCGCAGTACACAGACCGACTGATCCGTGCCATAGGCTCCGAGGGCACTGGTGGCGACCCCTTCAGCCAGCTCAAGACCACACTTGAGCCCATCGTTTTTCTATCTGGACTGGAGATGGCCAGCACGTTCGAGCACTTTTACAGGTGAGGCTGAACACCAAAGGTAGTCCCTTCCGCACTCATTTTCTACGAATAATTTTCCTTGAAGAATAGTTCTCTCTCTATGTGCCACGTCTTTTCTCAAATACGACGGCGGTCGTGGCCTTCCATTTAGCTGCGTCCATGACATTACTCTCTCTAGCATGTATGAATTGAGGAATGGCGAATGTGTAGAAAACAACAGCCCACTTTACAATTGGCAGCCGCCCAGACATCTTGCAGGAAACCCCCGTGAAGCCATACCCAGCCCGACGCAGCATTAAGCCCCACCAATCACCTCCCTGCTGACCACAGACGTGTTAACAGAGGTGAGACTTTGCTTGCCAACAATTTTTTTGTTATCCGATTAGTCGAGTTTTTTTTTAACCAATAATATAATCGGTCTAGCAAACGATAACTAAAATAAACGCAGAGCCCAGCGCGAGCTCAATGTCTCTTGCTCAACCGCCGTCCCCCTCTGTGCTGCCTCGACTCTCGCTTGTGCTCAGGTTCTACCTTGCGGAACGCCTGCTGACGCTGGGCCCCCACTACGCGGAGGTGGAGGCCGTGATGGAGCTGGCTCTCTGCTTCCCGGCCAAGTTCCCCCAGCGCCTGCTCCAAGACGTCGCCGAGTCCACCAGCGCCATGACCGACTTCCAGCAGCACCAGCTGGAGCAGTTCGACCGCCGCATGGCCGCGCTGTCCGACGAGGTGCCCTCTCGCGCCCTCGGTGACTGCGAATTCAATAAGGAGGTGGGCCCGGGCGGCTCAGAGGTCAGATCGCTCAGCTGGCGGGCGGCACTGAGACCTGAGTTCAACACTAGGCAGCCACTTGTGACGAATCCAGGATCTCAAGTGACTGCACACAAAAAAAAACCATAACAGCAACTTTGGTTCTGGACTTAATTTGGCTAAATTCCTGCTTTGAGACTAAAACAAATCTCCGTTTGATGGTCATGCGGTGAACATTACTCAGTAGCAGAGATGGTGGAACAAGTGATGCCACCTATTCTGTGGACCAGAGGTCACTTGAAATGATTTCAGAGGGTAGGTCCATGATATCCGCTGCCATGTGCTTAACAGGGAGGGTCGCACTGCTCTGCCAGAAATCTAAATTTATACTTAATGTCGTCACATTACTATGACAACAAATTTATGATAACATTTGGGAAATATTTTTTTGTATAAAAAAGCATAAAACAAGAATTAGGTTGCAGTGCTATCTGCTTGGTATTTAAAATGTGTGGCGACTGTATATTAATCTATTGATCGGGTAGTGCTATCGTTTGGGTGTTTTGAGTCGGCATTAAAGATCAAATCCTAGTCGGGTGTCATCTCAATATGGTGTGTTGAGTTCTTCCTCCAGAATTGTATTGACAAAGGGCCGTATTTTCATGAAAAATGTCAGGAAATGGAAGAGGATGAGCGGGAGGACGAGGTGGACCCAGACAACTGCGCAGGGCTGCGGGCGATGGTGCTGTCTCCTGCGTGCTGGGCGAGCATAATCCAGCCGAGTTGCAGCCTCAGCAACCCGGCCGCGACCCTCCCACATGCCCTGCAGTACTTCCTCCACCACTATGAACAGTTCTTCACTGACAGTGAGCCCCCTTCAGTCAACGCACACACATGGGCAAACTTCTCCCACTGTTCAACCGAGCCTCGTCGGGGCCATGCCCTGGGCCAGCCCAGCGCAGATCAGCAGGTGCCGGATAGTTTCTCCACTGCAGAACCCGAGTCGTCCCGCTGACATCACATGCAATGAAACTGGTCCAGGATTCATATCGGTGACATGGGTGACGCTGTATACCCACAGCGTACTGACATCACATGCGAGCGACGCGTCATTAGCCCCTCCTGTGGCCCTGCCTGGCCCCCGAAGCAGTGTCAGATGACTTGCAAGGTCAGCTAATCACTCTTTGGTTGCTTGGCTCAAAGATACCCCCATTTAAGGCCATAATTAACTTTTTGGTCGATTGGTCATTAACTTAGACTGTTGGAGCGGGTACTTTTAGCGATTTCTTGTGAACGCATGGTACAAAAGTTGATGGTGTTTTTCAATGTTTGCTTTTGAAATTTGTATTTGAGTAATATGAAGGCATTGTAATGCAACCATGACGTAACACCATGTTTAAGTTGTGAAAAATCTCCTTGCAGTTTGCTTAACACTAACTTTAATATTAACGCTTGATGTGTGGACTTTGTATCACGTAACCTTTGAAAACCAGACTCATTTTTGTCTTGGCGGTGACTAAGAGTTACTTGAGCAAATATAACCGAATCTTTATGGAGTGCCAATGAAATGTAGCGATCCTCGACCATGCGCCGTATGCAATGCATGACATTTGAAAACGTGTGCCAAACCCGCGCCTCACCCCGAGCAGGCCAGAAGACGCTGGCTGCATTCCAGCAGCAGCCCAAGCGGTTGCAGTGGACTTGGCTGGGCCACGCAGAGCTCCAGACACCTAGCGGGACGCTGCTGCAGGTTACCACGCTCCAGATGTACATCCTGCTGCAGTTCAACGATGGCAACGTGAGTTCCCGTTTTAAAGAACGACGACATCCGGCTAAATTGTGTCTGGCTCCGGTGCGCTAATTCCTAGTTGTAGACGCCGGCGATATAGAAATTAAGCAGATGACGATTCACTGCCCACCCCAACCCCTCCCCCCCCCCCCCATCAGTGATTCGATAAACATTTGCAATTCAGGGGTCACAATTTGGTGAAATAATATATTTGTTTTGTCTTGTTTTCTCCTGTTGAATGACCAACAACGTTTGGCCACAGGTGTCATTGTGTCACTTGTACAAATATTCAGATGCAGTCCCTAAAAATCACACCAGCAACTAGGATGTAGAAATTCTGGTCGTATTCAACGTTTTTGGAACTCTGATCGCCAATTCGGAGGCAGATTATTTTGGCCAAACAAGCAACGTAAAAAAATGACTCGTTTTGCAAACGTTATCACGCAGTGTCACTGGAGAAACTGGAAACTGACTTTGTGCAAGTGCCACGTTTTCCCATTCTTCACACTCGTGTGACACTTGAACAATCGACACAAATCGTAAAACCGATGATGGATTCTCTTTTAAAATGCGGTTTTAGAGAAGAATGTTAGGTGTGCCAATGTTTTGGGGCTGCAGCGCGTGTTGCTCGACATGATGCCGACGTTTCCGCTCACATGCCTGGGGAGCTGCTTTTGGAACTGGAACGTCGGTCATCGTGCCAAACAACACGGCGCAACCCGTAAAACACCATCGGAGAGCTACACAGACCAATCGTGACAACCTACACGGAAGAATGTTTGTGGCTTTTTGCATGAACACTTACTGTTACGCTTCAACTGTCTCATGAGCAGGAGGTGTCCATTGAGAAGATACAGAAGGACACCCACGTGACATCGTACCTGCTCAAGCAGTGCCTCCAGGCTTTGGCCGATGCCCCCTTTCTACAATTGCTCGGATCGCTGGATGGCGACAGCCTGAAGGGTACTCAAGTCACACTCAGACGCTTGGCGTTATGGCCCTAACAATCAGAGCAGTTCACTTTTTCTGTTCGAATAAGTGCCGTGAAGTGATGAAATCGGTTCCAAGTGCCTGGATCAAGTGTCGTATCGCAACACTGAGAGATGGCGTAGGCTTGATGGTGACTGGTACCGGGATGCTTTCAACACTTAGGAAGTTGACCGCGCGCACCGACTCCGGTGTCACGGGCTGTTTGCGGCACGTGTTTCCCGATGACAGGTTCCCTGAAGTTGCTTGAGGAGGCGCTGCAGGCTCTGCCGCGGCGGGAACGGCTGAGCCTGCTGCCCTCGCCGTGCTACTCGAGCAGCGAGCAGCTGGTGACGCGCGCCCTCGAGAAGCGCAGGAACGTCATCTCGTGCGCTGTCGTGCACCTACTCAAGCGGGAGAAGCAGCTCCACTTCGACAACCTCGTGTTCAGAGTGAGCGCGCCGCTTTTGGAGCGCGCGGGGGAACGCGACGGCTTTGCGCCAAATGTTTTAGAGAAAAAAAATCTAAAGTAAAAAAATAACTGCATAATTAATTCTTAACTTATTCTCCCCATCTTAAAATAAACTTCCCCCCCCCTATATTTTAAAGGCAAATTTGGGATGCGTGTTATAATACGCTTGTGATCAGATTTTGTATATCTTTATTGACACAGGGCATATGTTTGGATTGCATCCTTCTGGTTTGTCCGAGAGCATGGCAAGTACTGTAGAAGCTCCTGTAGAAGCTCAGGGCACGTGGAGCGAAACAGTTGTACACAATTAAAGATGCTCTGAGAAAAATAGATGTAAAAATAACGATAAGGCATGATGATGGCTTGGTGAGGCCGTCATCCAGCAGTGGATCACTCGTAGCCGATGACGATGATGATCGGCATCCTCTACCGGCAAGTGCTCGCGTCCGAGTGTCCATCCACCGCCGTTAACTTGACCACCGCTTGCGCGTGCGGCTGCGCTGCCCTTCCAAGGTGGTGAACGCTTGTCAGAAGGGGCGTCTGGGCGGGCGGCCCGTGCCGCGCTTCGTGTGCGGCGTGGCGGACGTGAGCTGGTGCGTGGAGCGTCTCCTGCGTCAGGGCTACGTGTCATTCCGCGACGACATGCCCCACATCCTGCGGCACACGTCCGACACCGACTCTGCCAACTCCACCAACCGGCGCACTTTCTGCAACTGGCTTTCTCTGGAGCCCAGCAAGGACTCAGGTGGTGCCTCACGGGATAAGGGAATAATGCAAGCCAGTAAAATTAGCGGCTCTTGTCTTGTACTTGCCTTCCTAGGGCTGTGTGTTCCCGGGTGCTGTCCAACAGGAAGATTTGTGAATGGCAACATTTAACAGTAACAAAAATGTAAAAGCACTCGATACCAACGTTCAAAATGTAACTTTCAAAAAATGTCCTCCTGTTCAGAAAGCGGCGTGGCAGCGGCGGACGAGAGGGAGTGCGGGCGGCCCTTGTCATCACTGGCTTCGTCGGCGAGCCCCGTGCGCACACGCACGCTCACGCCGGCCGAGGTTTGGCCGCTCATGGAGGATGCGACGCGCCAGCTGGTGGACGTGCTGGGCATGGAGGCGGGCGTGGCCGAGCACCTGCTCGTGCACTGTGGCTGGAACGTGGACGAGGCGGTGCAGCAGTACCTGGACTCGCGCGACAAGCTGCTCTCCGAGGCCGGTATCGAGGGCCCGCCGGCACGCGACCCCACCGACGGCGCCGCCGCCGACCAGCAGCCCACGTGCCCCATTTGCCTGGGCGTGACCGGGGAGGTGGAGCTGCTGGCACCGTTGTACTGCACGCACCGCTGCTGCAAGGTGAGAGGACGAGACGGCACGCAGGTGTGGGCACAGTAGTAGCAGTCCCTTAATGTACACTTTGAATTTGAGCTACTTGACTGGTTGCTGTGATCGCACTCAGAGGAAGACATGGATTACAGTACACATGGATTACAATTTAGAGACCTGCAGATTGTTAAGAACATTAAGTGGGCTTGGACAGGACGCGTTGCTCGGAGGGATGATAACTAGTGGTCAAGACTAACGATGGAGTGGCAGCCAAAGGAGGGAACACACCACCAGTGATAATATCCCCAGTGGAGATGTAGCAGCAAAGATATCTTGTGTGCAGGTACTAGGCGGTACTAGGTGGATTGTAGTATTGCAAGACCATTAAACAGATCGTGGCTAATGACGATGATGACCGGCTGTGCCACCCTGTAGTCATGCTGGAGAGCCTATCTGAAGACCAGCATCGATCAGAACATGCTCGCCAAGTGCACCTGCCCCATCATGGACTGCCCCGCACAGCCCACGGGCGCCTTCATCAGGACAATGATGGAGGACGACAGTGACCGTCTGGAGTTGGTAAGGATGCTGGATCAGCCCCGCTGGTTGACCTTCGATCATCATCTCTATAATGACCATCCACCTCTCTCAGTCTACCACCAGATAGAGTATCGACCGCTACTGAGAGGCAAAACCCCAACGGTCACGGCATGCGCTTGTCCATATGGCCGGTGCGTATGGCGACCGAGCGTGTCTGCTTGCGTCTGGCAGTACAAGCGGGCGCTGCTGCGGGGCTACGTGGAGAGCTGCTCGAACCTGGCGTGGTGCGCCAACCCGCAGGGCTGCGACCGCGTGCTCTGCAAGGACGGCACGGGCGGGCACGCCGCCACCTGCGCCAAGTGCCACTGGAGCACCTGCTTCTCTTGCAGCTTCTTGGAGGTGACCTTTCTCGAGCGACGAACCAACATAGACGTGCAGAATGTTCCTTTTGTATTTTACGGATATTTGTCCACTGCTGGATGAATACCTCCCCCATATACTATGTCGGTTAAGTTGATTGTTTGATAATACTTTACCACGCTGGTCAGCGAAGGACTGGTGATGTGGGAGGACATGGGCTGGTTCTGATATCACACTGTTGATGTAACCCGTGGTCGGGAATCTAACTCATTAACTGGGTTCGGAGCATCGCGCGCCAACCACCGCACGCACCACTGTTCTACCCCCACAACTTTTTTTGTTGCATGTGTGACGCTCCCCCCCCCCCGTTCAGGCTCACTGCCCCGCGAGCTGCAACCAGATCGCGTGGTGGGTGGACGAGGGTGGCTACTACGAGGGCATGAGCTCGGACGCGCTCAGCAAACACCTGGCCAAGCTCATCTCCAAGCCCTGCCCCAGCTGCCACGCACAGATCGAGAAAAACGAGGGCTGCCTACAGTGAGTGGGAGCTGCGTTCAAAATCGATCGCAAACGGCGGCCACGTGGCGCGTGGCGAGCCCACCGAAATTTTAAACGAATCGGAACACCATGGCCCCGTTTTGAGCCGTGAAATGAAGTTGCCCGCTTTGCCTTTTTTTCAGCATGACCTGTGCCAAGTGTAACCACAGCTTCTGTTGGCGGTGCCTCAAGGCGTGGGCCCCGACACACACCGAGTACTACAACTGCTCCACCACGGTGAGGGCTTTATTAGAGTTATGTATGCATGTATGTTGAAATTATTTTGCACCGTACGTCGCCAGCTGTGCTAATCGGGGGGTGCCTTAACAGCTGATCTAATCAAGTCCAAGCCTGATGTTTGTTTCACTCCTATTGCAATTAATTGCGACCAAAAAGAGATGGATTTCAGAATTAGTATTGTGGCAAATAAAACTAAATATTAAATAATTTTGAAATGTGACCTGTTTGCTCTTTTCTGAAGCACTATCTTAGCCATATGTATGTATACATAGTTATGTTATGTCATGTTCATGTATAATTGAGAATTATTTGATTTCACTGTTTGCACTATTTTAAAATAAAAAAATAGGATCCATGACAGTGATTTTTTTTTTTTTACAGAATAGGTCATAAAATGAGAGTATTGTAAAATAAAATATACTAAAAGGATGAAATCATTAAATTATTTTAATTGCATCCAGGTGAGATATCTTAACACCTTGTACTTTTTTGCAGGTGAGCAAGGCAGCCAAGAGGGAAAAGCAGTTCCAGGAGTACAACGAGATGTGCATATTCTACCACCAGGCGAAAGTAAGTGCTGATGGACCGTTGCACAGCTCCAGAGTGAAGCACAGACACACAGCAGTTTGTGGCATCACTGTGTGAGCTGTCGTAAAAACGGCCCCCGGATGAAAATGACAATGCATTGCTTCATTAACTCAACATTCTTTTCGGGTATAACATCATAATGATGGTGATGATGATTGATGACGATCACAATGATGACGATGATGGTGTGGATGACGATGGTGTTGATGATGATGATAATGCTGATTAGCACACGTAGTATAACTACTTGCTAGTATGTTATATCCCTTTCGAACCACATGGTGTGTTGCTTCTCACAGGATTTTGCACTGAAGATGAAGAGCCGGGTGGAGTCACTGGACCAGACGATTCCTGGGCGTACGGTTATGTTTGTGTTAGATGCCTGCGAGGCCCTGGCTAAAGCTCAAAAGGTCAGTGAGCCGCTGATGTCCTTGGGCGTTGGTCAACAGCACCAAAGGGCCATTCCCAGTGTTCGTCGGGAATGGCCCTTTGGTGTTGGCGGCATGCTCTGTTTTTGTCTAAATTTTTTTTACTTAATTGGTTGTGTGTAAGGCTAGATTTTAAATGTTATCTCGTGCTAGATCTTCCAATCTTAACACGTACTATTCGATGCCTCTACCGCCCAAGCATGAGAATATATTTAAATCGGCAAATCGTTCCGTGCCGACTGAATAACAGTTCCTTGTGTGTTGGCATTCAGACTCTGGCGTACAGCAGCGTGTACAAGTATTACAGCCAGGACACGACGAAGCTGGGCTTTCTGGAGCAGCAGACGGACAACCTAGAGACACACGCTGGGGCACTGCAAGCCCTGCTCGGTACAGCCCTCGGCCCCTTGCCCCCCCCCCCCTCTCCACTTATTTGACGATGAATAGGAAAAGTTTTGCAGAAACCGAAAGCGATGATGATAATTAATAATGGCCCATTAAGTTAATTTCAGAAGTTATTCTATGACATCACCTTCCAGGGCCGTCATTTTCTCAGACAAGATAATTTTCTCAGACAGGAAATGTATTCGTGGAAATGTATTTGTCTCGTGGCATGATGCCGCGAGCACGTTTGGAATATAATTGGGGTGTAAGCAGAGTTGCAGAGGTACCACACTCTGCTGATACCACGTAGTGCAGCCCCACAGGATCCTACGACAACTTGCTATGCATGGTGGTGACCCATCCAAGCACTATCAGGTTACGGAATTGGGTGCATTCCAGACGATTTCATCATTGATCACAGACATGACAATGGTGCGCTACGAAGCACCGATATGCTCACCTACGCGCACACATGTGACCTCATCCATGCGCATGTGTGTGCGTGTGTGTTTCTGTGCGTACGCAAACAGAGGAGACAGTGCTGCAAGGCTCGGACCTGGCGTCGGCCGTGCGTGCGCTCCGCTCCCAGCACATGCAGCACGGCTTGCAGCTCATCGGAATGATCCACGAACGCCTGGGAACGCTGCTTGGTGGCTCTATGCAGGTACCCACGTGGCTGCTCCTGCACCAATGGCCCTGTTGTTGGAGTAGACTCTTTTGCAGTGTGTTGCCCTTTTTTTTCCCCACTGGGTTTTCCAGCACTGATTTGAATATCGCCGATGATGTAACATTATTTTCAGTGGCATAGCTGGTGGAAAACTGCTGCCTTTGCCGTGTGGAACAGAGGTCACATTCGGGGATCTCGGAAGCAATTTTGTGATATCCGCTGTTCTGTAACATGAAGGGCTGCGCTGCTTTGCTAGAGATCATAAATACTTAATCTGATAAAATTAAATCTACAGCGTAATCTGTATAACATTGGAGACAACGATAAAAAAATAAAGAGGGAGAAATGTAAACTTAAAAAAAAAATCTTTTTTTTCATTCGCCAATGTTCAGTAAGTTACCATTTTCCAAAACATACTTTTTTAATCTCTTAACAGCTTGCAGGCAACGGCGTGCTGTGATGTACCGATTGATTTCTGGAATTTTCATGATTCTCACTAATTCAATGGGATTCACTGTGCAGCTTTTTTTGTTTGCTTATTCACTTCATACAAATTTCCTCGAATAAAACCACGTTGACATTTACATTTTTCTCATGTTTGCAAGGAGGATACTTTTTTGGACTTGACAAAAATAATCTTAATGAGACACTTTTGCCCAGAGCCTGCTTGTACCTGTTTGTTGGAGAGAGTTTGCATGCGTGTGGGTATGTCTATGCAAATTAGAGTAGTGTGTCAAATGAGGTGATGCATCCAGCAATTTCAGGACCTTGTGATCTCTACCATTTTGTGAGTGCACACTGGGTAAAATCTCATGTGTACCATCATAGGACTTCCAGGTGGGAATGGCGCAGTCTGCCACCCTACAGGACACAGAAGGAGTGGTGAAGCTATCAACCAAAGAGTACAGCCTTTTTACTGTTTAATTAAACACACACACACCCATACAAAAACACCGATACATTTTCATACTACAATTTTTAATGGCTAGACCCCTAAGGTGGTAGGTGGGTGAGAGCTCCTAACGCTCCCATTCTGTTTTCGCAGCCCGATGCCGCGAAGGAGCTCCGATGAGAACATGGACGAGGACGGAGAGGATTACCCCTGGGAGGCCGGTGGCGCGTCGCTGTTTTCGCGATTCCACAACGGCAAGGAGAACAACCGCCAAGACGACATGGACGAGGAGCTGGACTCGGACGGAGAGACGGACGGCTCGGCGGGCAGCGGCAACATGGACAGCGACCCCTGCTCCGGAGATGACGACGAGTACGGCTGTACGCAAGGCTGAAAGCCCCCGGCTTTCTCACGCGCGGCAACAAATCGCGCGCGCCGTGCTTTGTCGTGCGTCCAATCGTGCACCAGTATTTGTGATCTCGCTGGGGTCTTCAACGGGATCAAAGTGTGCAGTTACGGCAAGCAAGCAAGAATTGTACACGTCGGTTTTCTGTTGTAGAACATTTTTGATCAGATATTGTAAATGATCACCAATGTTTGCATTCTCTTTGGCTGTGACCCATCCGTGCAGCCACATTGGTTTCGTTGTAAAAGTGGCACTATGTATTTACCATCATGGTTACTCTGAACTTTGGGAATAATTGTCATAATGACCATCAGGATGACAAGATATTTGGTGTTTTCTTGGACAGTTTTCCAACGTTGAAAGATTATTTTGCGCCTCATTTACAGAGCACAAAAACCTAACAACTTTAGCTGATGTAATTGTAACACTTTCAAATTGGTTTTCCATTATGAGCAATGGTTAAGGATTTTGTAACGCTTACCATAGTTACACTTTTTGCGAATTATGATACAATGACACCTTAATCTGCTTCAGCTTCCTCCATTAGTGATTTTAAATACATTTGAAATGCTTATGAATTACCATGGCGTGTATTTGATATGGCAAATACATTATTACTGTTCAGACATACCATGTGACACTAATTGTGTTTCCAAAAAATATATATAAAAAACAAAGTTGGTATACAGAAGATTTTCCTTTTGATCAAAAATAAATAATTAAAAGTTGATGTGATTATTTCATTGTGTGCAGTCATAGCACAAAAATAAAGATGTGATGTTTTGCACTTAACAAATATTTTTGACTGCGGATTGTTTCTACTTGCATCATTATGGCGCAAGGCTATCATGAAGGCACTATGTTTACAGCCTGCAGTATGATAGTTTGTTGCTGAATGTAATCCCAGATGAGTAATTTGCAGGTAATGTCAGGTGTTAATGCTAAACACGTAGAATCCGTAACAAAAAAATTGTAGTTGTGCAGCATTACGGGGTAATAAACATTCTTTGCCTCCACAGAAATATGTTTTAGTATTTCATATTCTTAGTTTTTTCGGTAAAGTCACGTTGAAGAGAAACAACAAAATAACAAAATATATATAAAACAATAAAAAATTCTCACGACGTTTCGACCATAACTCAAACGGTCATCATCAGGTGTGTTGGTTTGCATACATTTTTATGCAAACCAATACATTTTTATGCAAACCAACACACCTGATGATGACCGTTTGAGTTATGGTCGAAACGTCGTGAGAATTTTTTATTGTTTTATATATATTTTGTTATTTTGTTGTTTCTCTTCAACGTGACTTTACCGAAAAAACTAAGAATATGAATTACTGCAGTCACGAAAGCTTTAAATCAAAATGTTTTAGTATGTTAGCTTTGAAACCAGGGAAAGCTCCCAGACCGTATAGGGTAACTGGAGATCTAAACATTTTAACTCGTGCTCAATCAAATTATGGATCTGTTGAGTAAATGTTTATACGTCAAATGAATTCAGTGTCGTTATGGAATGGTATCTGCGTCCATTATAATATGGGACAAAGGGGAGAACTGATTTGAAGAAATACCCATTTGCCTATCGCACCGATTTAGATTATGAAGACAGCAGAGAACCAATATGGAGAATGTTAGGGCAATCGGTTAACTAAGTGAAGAAGCTGGATTTCTCCATGGACCACATACAATCAGATTTTAAAAAGAAAAATGTATAACACTGAAATGGAATTCTCTTAAGTGGATAATTATGCAGACATCCATGGTATCTGTATTACCTTTTTTTTGCATCCATAGCCACGCATACCAACGCTTAGTGATGTGATCGAAAATTCATTCCATTCTCGTTAGTGTTGGCAAGTTATTTCTGCACATCGACGCTTAAAACTAAATTAAATTTCTCATATAAACTATGACTTGGTACATATGTAGTGAGCGACTTCTGAGACACGTCGAGTAGAAGGCTTCTTATTTATCAATGTATAAATATGTATATTCCAAATGAAGTCACTTTATTTCTTGGCACGGCGTATTTTACGGTTATTACACCCGCAGTATTAACCGGGGTGGCCTGCCGGTGTCGAACCGCAAACCCGCGCAACAAGCGGCGAATCGTCAGTGAACCCACCCCGGGAGTCGCCGTTTGTCGTCATTGCGACGTCGTGACGTCGGCTGCAAGTCGTGACGTCGGCTGCACGTCGTGACGTCGGCTGCACGTCGTGACGTCGGCTGCACGTCGTGACGTCGGCTGCACGTCGTGACGTCATTTCCTTTGCTTTGGTGAAGAAAGAAGGCAGCAATGGAGTCACTGCTGGTTTACGGGTGCGATGGCAGAAGCCGCCCGCTGTGTCTCTCGCATGGCTCCACTGTCGGGGCGCTTCGGGAGGGAGCCGCGGGTCTCCAGGTGAGCCCGACACATTGTAGTTACGTTGTAATTAATAGCTTCATTGTATGTATGACCAGATGTTAGGCCGCAGGCTTCGAGTTAGCCCCCAGGCTTCGAGTAGGGCCCCGGCCTGGCTTTGAGTTGAGGGAGAAACGGCTGCGGTTACTGCTGCTCATGCGTTGTGATTAGTAGCATCGCTGTTACTATTGTTGTGAGAGTGCAGTGTTTGGTGAGGCAGACTCAACATCTTAGGTCCTCCACCGGTGGGGAAGAAGTACCGGGTTTGGGTTCGTTTCGGGCCGAGTAAAATGTGGGGGTCAGGCAACGGCGGGAGCCAAAGCTGGGACACTCCGCGTTGATCACAAATCGTTTGCCGTGCTGAGCTCGTGGTGGAAATTCCACATTACGGTGGCGGATTCCAGTGTGCCCATTGGACGAGCAGTGGCTTTACTTCCCACGGGGCTGAGTCTCGTTGACTCCGAACGTGCACGGAGCTGAGTCGCCGAAATTAAACAAAAAGCATACCCACCCGGATGTTTCTCGACCTCGTGTGGTGGTTGTGAGGTGTGGAACAGCAGCGTCGTGGTTCTGAACCCGGCAAATCGAGTTAAGATTCCTGGCCACGGTCACTATTGGTGGCCAGTGATATCAGAACCGACTAGGCCTCCCCAATGTCGGTTTAGCCTTAAATTATAGTCATGAATTTGAACATCTGTTTGTCGTAGCTCTGGCCACACTACCGCATGGTGCGCCCTTTCGGCCTTAATTGGTATTTTGGAATGATGGTTGCACACAGAAGTTGCCTCAACAGTCTGTTAAAGCAACACCGATGGTGTCTGTCTTTGTTGTGCGATGAAGGGTTTGCCCAGCGATGATGTATTCGTTCTGTGCAATGGGAGGCTGGCGAGGGACGAGGACGTCGTGGTGCCAGCTTGCTGCTACCGGCTGCACGCCAAGCTGCTCGGCGGCAAGGGAGGTGAGTGTGAGCGGTGTGCAGCCACTGCATCAGCAGCAGAGAGAGAGACGTGATGCCAGGATTCACATCTTGAGAGCTCTAATGAATATCATCACCTGGGTTTATACGAGCCATTGTTGGTGAAGAAAACATGGGCGCGTTTGCTGCAAGGTTTGCACGAACATTCAACACGCAAAATGGGCCCCGTGGACGTAGACGCTATTGCTGCTTGTTGCAAGAGGTTCGTTCCGAGTCCAGTGCCTGTCCATAAACATTCATGCCGTCTGCTTCACAGTGGATGTTGAAGATCCCGTGACGTCTGAAAAACTTGACTGTGTGTTTCCCCAAGTTCAACTAATAAACCCCAACAACGCCATTACCACATTGTTTAAAAGTCACGAAGAACAATTATTAAATTTCTGACTGCTCTGCGCTGTTGCTGTGTCTCCGCTTCTCAGGGTTTGGCTCGATGCTGCGTGCGCTGGGAGCTCAGATCGAGAAGACGACAAACCGCGAGGCCTGCCGGGACCTGAGCGGCCGCCGCTTACGTGACGTCAACAGCGAGAAAGCGTAAGGCATACTGTACCTCGTAGCAGGCCTCTGACTGCACTTTTGGATGGGCCACGTAAATAAAATGTGTGTACTGGCAGGTCAAATATCATGTCACGTGTACACGTGACATCACAAAGTCATAGCATCTGTACACGTGATCACTAAAATGCACTTCTTAAGTCTCCAGGTTTCTGATCTGATATTTTATTTTGCTTTCCTCTTAGTAATCTTTATACTTTGTCGATTGCTTTCTCCTATATATATTTTCATCTCACCAATGTGCAGCTCTTAGGTTCTGTGTGGGCCACACCGTGGGCCACCAGTTGAAAAACTCTTCCTTATTACTATAAGTGCCCTTAAATTTCAGACTTTTGTCTCTTACCAGTGGACTGTGTATTAATTTTATATAAGATATGTTGCATTATATTTAAGTTTAGTTTTCCAAAATAGGCAGTGGTCATTTTAAATACGCTGCTTTGCTGAAGAACTACGAATACAATACTAGTAGGTGAAGTAGTAAAATATTTTGCTAAAAATAACACATGATTGCCATTAAGTGGAAAAACTTGATGGACGTGTATAAATGCTGCCAAGAGTGAGTTTGTAACTGAGCTTAGATCCATGGCAAAACATCGTGTGACATTACATGTATGAGATGATGTCCTAGCACTGCTATTCTGGTATCATGGGTTCAATTCCTGAGTAAGCACTTCACCTCACAAGTAACAATTTGAATCTCGGTGGCATGAGCCTCACCCTAGTGTGGTGGTGTCTACATGAGCAAGGGGAGACACGGTGAGCAGGCATGCACGGTGCTGAACACACCACCTTCCTTGCGCCCATGTTGGCCATAACCAGAATTTTTAAAACAATTTCCTCAATGGTTCATAAGTCTAAACGGAGGCTCTCTCTGTCCGTGTTCAATGTGGGCATCCTCCCCTCGCCATTGGGCAGCATGGCGGAGTGGCTAAAGCAGCAGACAGACCGCGAAGCGGAGCGTGCTGAACGACGCCGCCAGCGGCTGGAGCGCCGCCTGAGCCAACCCAAGTACCACTACAGTGACCCCGTGTACGAGCAGCAGCTGCACGACATGGCCGAGCGTCTGGACGACTCCGTGATCAAAGGTGGCCGCACTGCAGAACGCTACACAGAATCATGCCACCAGCTGTGACTGAAACATTCTCAAGAGTAGACAATGATGGGTGCTGAGTGTCTTACATATTGGTTGTGCAGGCATGCAGATGGCAGGCAGCAGCGCAGTGAGGCCTGACGATGTCCGCAAAAAGAGGCCCTCTTCTGAGGCCACCAAGAGCTCCGGCAAGAAGAAGTGCCTCTGGTTAGCAATGCATTTAGTCATCCGCCTTGATCAATCCACTGCTGGTTGAAGGCCTGTAGTTGTGCCACGCTTGGCGTTATTTGTGTACACGCCTAATAATCTGCACTGTGTGTGGTGATGGCCAGGCTGGGAGTGGAAGGACTGGGAAACACCAGCAGCTCAGGCTCCGACAGCGACAGTCGGTCAAGCGCCTCGAGCCCTCCGCCTACAGCGAGCAGGAGCAGCAACTCTGTAGAGGCGCGCCGCTCCGCCACCACTAGCAGCAGCAGCGGGGACGAGGGTCAGATCGGCAGAAGGGCAGCACCATGTGACGCCGCAACAGCTGCCAGGACATCCGTCCAAGACACCTCTGGTAGCGAAGCCAGCCCCTCGACAGGAGGGGAGAAGCTGGAAGCTGCAACTCCAAGCTCGATAGAGATGGGAGAGGGTGACAAAGGCGGCAAGAGTGAGAGCACCAGTGGGGTCAGTAGTGAGGAGAGAAAGAGAGGGGAGGTAGGAGATGTCAGTCCTCAGCCGGGCAAGGCTGTAAACATCGAGAATCCAGAACTAGAGACCCCAGTCGACAGT